GGTATCATTCAGAGGCTTTACCCAATATTATATGGTCCGTTACTAACCCCAGCTGCCCAGATTGAGTTCACCCAACAGTTCCAGAAATTTACCTTCCCCCCTGGCTGGAGTCGAATACAGTCCCCAGAAAAACACATACGGTCGTGGTCAATGAGCGAATGTGGGAAGGCGTCCATTATCGTACCATTAATACTTCGCCGCTGGCTGAAAACAATACATGTACGGCACACGATCCAGTCGGCTCTAGCCTGTGAATATCCAGTGACAGCCCGGCCTATACATAATAAAACGGATGTTGATTTTATTGTGAATGCATTTGGGCACATTGCAAGAAGTAATTCCTTTGTGTCATCTATCAGTCTTACTACTACAGAGTGGCTGGACTTCCACAATGCTATATTAGAGGGGAGAGCTAGTTTCTTGTGTCTTATGAAGGCAGCGGCGAAGTCGTCAGGCACCTTAGAAAGCAGGCAAACCGCTAGCAATATAGGGCCTGGCGTTGCATCGGCCACCCTACAGTCCTATGCTACCTTTAGCCAAAGTGGATCTGAGGTTGAAACTAGTACTGATGATCAAGTCAACCCTACCCAAGGTAATGCTAGTGTTATTGGTCATGCAGGCCGGCTTCCTAATTTCCATATCGCCCTTCACTTCCACCAAATGATGGAGGAGTATGGAAGTGTATGGAATACAAACGTGTTCTGGGGCGAAGACAAGCACAAATTCTTCAAGGAAGCAGTTATATGGACAAACCACAGACGGCCTGAACGGGATCTACTTATCCAAGAGTGTATATTTACAACCCTCCGGTCTACCCTGTGTGGTGCCTTCCTCCATACATGTACAGAGACCTCCGCCCAGGTTATAAGGATTAAGGATAATTGCCCAGCAGTGTTTGAATCTGACAGTGCATTGATGTATGTGATGTTGATTAATTGATTGAGGCAAGAGAGCTGCTCTATGGAATCTCTACGTGTGGAGGTGCTCGCTAGTCGAGTTCACTCAACCACGTCGTGCGGGCTCAATACCCAGAACCTCCAGAGTTCCTCACACCCCCCAGGCCGCATAAGACGTGCCTCTGTATTGCATTGTACTATTTTACATTGTGATATTCTCGATATCTGTCATTTTGACCAAACCCAGCTGTTGAATGAAACGTGCATGCTTGACAGGAAACAATGGCTTTGTAAGACCGTCTGCAACCATATCATCTGTTGCAATGTATTCCAATTTGACCATTCCCTTTGCGACTTGCTGTCTGATGTAGTGCCAATAAACTTCAATATGCTTCGTACGTGCATGGAATTGAATAGGCTGAGTGAGTGAGATAGCTGGTTTGTTGTCTCCATGAATGACAACAGGGTGAAGGTCAGGACCGAAGTATTTAAGCTCTGTGAGCAATTGTTGAATCCAGGCAGCCTCCTTGGCAGCGTAGGTCATGGCAATATACTCAGCCTCTGTTGATGAAGTAGCGGTAAGAGTCTGTTTACCGCTTTTGTATGTTACAATGCCACCTGCAGCTTTGAAAACATATGCATGAGAGCTTGCTCTGTTGTCGGAGTTGTCTGCAAATGCGGCATCGCTGTAGCCCACGAAATCAAGTCCTGGTGGACCAAATCGACCATCTTGAAATTGATCAAGGGTAAGAGTGGTTTGTGGAGCTTGAAAGCAAATTGCAAGGTCTGGAAAGCTCTTAAGGTATCGCAAGACATGTAAGGCGTGATCCATATGTTGCTGGCTTGGATTGTTTGCGAATTGACAGAGCTTATGAGTTGCAAAAGCAATGTCAGTGCGTGTAGTATTTGCAGCATAGCCAAGAGCACCAATCATACTCTGGTATTCCTGACGTAAATTCTCATCTATTGAACCGGTAAAAGGCTTAAGATGAACGCCATCAGGCTGCATAGGGTGAGAAGCTCCTTTGCAGTCTTCCATATAGTACTGCTTGAGAATTTTCTGAATATAGGTCTCCTGCGAAATGTGCATGGTTTTGCGAGTGCGATCACGGGTGATTTTCATTCCGAGGGTAATGGTTAAGTGGACCAAGGTCATGGAGTTCGTATTTATCGCAGAGCTGTTGCTTCATCTCTGTGACAGTTTGGAGGTTGCGGTGGATGAGTATAATATCATCAACGTAGATGATGATGATTCCACCGTGCTTATGATGTTGAAAGACACAAGGATCTGCATTAAGAGGCTGGTATCCGAGAGAAACGAGGAATGTAGTGATTTCTTGTTGCCATAAAAGAGGTGCTTGCTTAAGTCCATAAAGAGCCTTAAGAAGACGAGCAACAAGGGCACGGCCGTGTGCATCTGTAGATTGAAATCCAGGTGGAAGGCGAATGTAGATATTATCGTTGTCGATGGGACTATTAATAAAAGCACAGACAACATCGAGCTGAATACATTCGAGGTCATAGATTGTAACAATGGCCATGAGGAGTTTGAAGGTGGCTGCACGTACAACAGCTGCATATGTCTCGAGATAGTCTAATCCCGGACGCTGTTTGTCACCACGGACAACAAGACGAGCTTTGCAAGAAGCTAATTTGCCTTCTGCATCAGCCTTGTATTTGAATACCCATTTCACAGGGAGAACACGTTGGTCTTTATGATGTAGAGTTTGAGTCCAAGTGTGATTTTTGACGTGTTGAGAGATCTCCTTATCCGTAGCTTGCTTCCACTGTTCACTAAAAGGATGGGCCATAGCCTCTTTCCAAGTGCGTGGTTCAAGAGGAAGATCTTGAATGTTTGGTTTATGATCCATTCCTGCAGCAAAGCAATATGCGACTGTAGGTGGAAGAATACAGAGAGCGTGTCCGTGGTTTTGACGCTTCTTTGCAAGATTATCTTTTTGTTGTTGCAAAGCTTGAGTATATTGCTGACCTTTCTCTGTCTGTTTAACTTTGCGTTTTGAGTGAGAGGAAGAGGAGACAGGTTGATCCTGAATATGGAGACGGTGTTCGTGTAAGGCAGGTTGAGGTAGATCAAGTTGTTGCTGTTGAGTAGGAGGTGGATCAATGAAAGACATGTCTTCAAATTCCTGCTCGAGAAGAGTCTGTCGACCAAGTTGTGGGAGTTGAATCTCTTGATTTGCAAGCGGAGTAGATCTTCATGAGTAGATTCACAGTCTGATCCTGGTGGTGAAGAATCTTGAGGCGAAATCACCCCCCCATATGTTAGAGTGTGAAGATCAAGAGGAAGAACACCCCCCAAATCTACAGGGAGATCTGGATGGAAGTGGTCAGCATTAAGAGTAATATATCCAGAATCATCTTCGTCATCTGTATCCTCGCTGTCGAAAGTTGCAAGCGGGTGCACTGGATTGATTTCGTTCTCATTAAATGTGACGTGAGAGGTGCGGATGACTTTGTTTTGCGTGGGGATGTAGATTCGATAAATGTGATCACCTTCGTAGCCAACGAGTTTGCCCTTCTGAGCTCGGACATGGAACTTCTGTCCTTGAACTCTCTTTTGCTTTGGTATGTAAACATAAGCTGTACAGCCAAATGTACGCCAGTGAGCAATGTTAGGGAGAATATGAGTTTGTTCGCAGAACTCAGAAAGCACTTGATGTGGTGTCTTTGAATTTTCGTTCTTGCGAGTAGGTGTTCTGTTCATGCTTTTGAGAGCTGTTATGAAAGCTTCTGGCCATATCTTGTATGGAAGTCCACTGCCTTGGATCATGGATCTGAGACGGACTTCCATAGTATGGTTCGCCGTCTCGGCTTTGCCGTTCTGATATGAGTGGTATGGAGCCGATGGTTCATATTTGATTCCATACTTCTGACAAACCTCTTGAAGTTGTTGTTGTGAGAACTCTGTTCCTCCGTCAATGCGAAGTCTCTTGATGTGAGATCCCATCTGGTTGTGGTAGAAGTTGATGAACTTAATCAAAGCAGGAAAGGCATCACTCTTATTATTATAAGCTTCTCCCCATCGGTATCCTGAAAAATCATCTGTAAAAAGAATGAAGTATTTCTCTCCACGGTGTCCAGTGTTTGTAAGTGGGCCAACTGTATCACAGTGGATAAGATCTCCAACTGCAGTTGTCTTCTCTTGTGGTTGGTGAGAGATCTTCTGTTGTGCTTTTGTAAGATGGCATGTTTCACAGAACTGTTGTTTTCCAGTAAGCTTGTAGCCAAGTTGCTTTGCAAGATTATGGATGGAATCCCATCCTGCATGTGCAAGGCGTCGATGAAGGAGATTGATGTTAATGGAGATGATGGTGGGAACAACAGGTAAAGCAAGTGTACCCTGATCGATGTGTTGATCGCCAATGCCCATGACTTGTGGGCAGTAAAGCTGAAGAGTAGGATGGAATGGTGTGTACATGACTTCGATCCCTGTCTCCTTAAGACGGAACGTCATAGTGTCTCCCATCCAGATGATTGCATTCTCTGTTCTAAACTGCAACACCTTGGCTGAGATGATGCTAACAGGAATGGTGGGCGCGTAGTAGACTTCTGTAATCTGACGCGTAACATGGTTGCCATCTGTATCAACAGTGATAAGTTGAACTGTTCCCTTTTGACGTGCAAAGACAGATCCATTTGCGGATTCAACTTGCAATGGGACGATATTTTGTAACGAGATGAAGGCATCTTTGTTGTTGCAAAGATGATAGCATGATCCGGTATCGACGATCCACATCTCCTTATACCATGATTGTGAAGTAGAGAGAACAAGTGAAGGTGTAGATGCAGGAGATGGAAGCATTGCCATAGTTATGATGCCTCTCTTAGAGTTCTTCTTGGCCGTCTTCTGATTGTTGTATTTCTCTACCCATTCTGCCTTTGGTGTGAATCCTGCAATTGTGCTCAACTCGGGGTGGAGATGAAAGCATTTGTCAACTGTATGGGATTTGCCACAGCATGGACACTTGTCACGTGTGTTTTGACAGTGTTGTGGTTTTGACTTTGTATGTTCCTTGTTGTGACCATTAAAGTTGACAAGGTTTCCATCATTCTTCTGCTTTGATTCATCAAGAACAGTGTTGATGCAGTCGTTGATGTCTGGATGTCGAAAAGGAAGCCTTCAGTTCTCCCAAGCAACATCCCTTCTACGCGCGACCTCTGCGACTTTCTTGGCTTTAATGGCACAGAGGCCAAGAACGACCTCTGTGACTTTTCACGCAAATGGCGGATGGCCTACACCACTAGGAGCGGGTGCTGTGGAACTAAGCTTCTGAATTGGAAATTCGAACAAGAAGACCTGAAAATTATGGCACAAGCCTTCTTATCCGACGCAGTAGAAGAAGAATTCTGGTCTAACATGAAAGGAGGAGACTCCATTCCAAAGGGTTCCGATGAAGAGTACGCAATTCTCGTCTTTCGGTAGTTAGGGTTTTAGTACCTAAAGCTGACTATTATTACTAGAACCGTGAACTTGTTGATGCAGCTTTTATGGAAACAAAACAAGTATGCTTATAACAATGCCAACTATCCTAAGCCGTCTCAAGATCGTATTCGGCGTATAGATGCGACACAATACGACGACCAGCAAACTAAACGCAGAAAGAGAGATGATGGCATTTTCATCGCCTATGATCAGGATGGGTTTATGGAACGGGCAACGAAGCAGAGCTCCCTTTCTCAGCAATTCAGCCCTGCACCACCACCTCTAGCGCCTCTCCAGACAGATACAGCAGCACTACCGCCAACTGAGTCCCAATCACCACCACACGTACAGCATGTATTTGCTCTGACGACTGAACCTAAAGGCCGCGCCCTGATCCCATTCCATATTTCGCTTCATAGCGGCGGCAAGACACGCCAGAGTTTCTGGGAAGAGGGGCGCTTTGGCTCCAAATCTCTCCAAGAGTTTCTCCCTAGCTTTGCAGCTAAGCTAAAATGCGCACCAAACGATATTGAGAGAATTAAGCTAGTGCTGCGGTTGAAAACTCGAGAGGTTGAAATTGAGATGGAGGCTAGAAACGAGGACATATGGGAGATAGCGATGGCCACTTTTAGAGATGAGATTAAAAGAGGAAAGGCAAAGGGTGAAGTAAAGGGGGTGAGTGTGCTTGTGGAACCGGTAATGAGGAAAGGCGGTGTGGAGACGGGAGGCTGGGACGAGGATGAGGAGTTCGAGTTGTAAATTAGTCCAATAGTTGTAACACAATAGAAATACTTACACAGAAAACATTACTGTGGTAATAAAGCCTACCGCTGCATTGCCTCAGCCTCTACGTCCTTGCCCTGCTCACCCAAGCGATTCTGCGAGGTTGTTCATGCTCAAAAGTGTGTTGGGTAGTCCTTCCCGAGTACAGACAGTAGCATCGAGGTGATGAGTGAAGGATGCGACCCTGAACGTTACACGTTGACAATTGAGTCAAGTCATTACGAACCCCACACATGTGCCTCAGCCGCAAATCCCTTCAATTGCACTTGAGTCTATCTAACCTTAAAAGTTAAGGCTGGGTAGACTCAAGTGCGTCATCTACAGGTTCGCCGAAAAGATATCACGTGCTAAGGCCGACTATGGTGGCGATGAGAGCATTCAAACGGTCACAGGGTTAGTTACGGACAAACTCAACAGTCTTTGCAAGATAATAATAAATAGGAGACATTTAGAGTCTTAAATGTTAAAGATATAGACCGTGTCGGTGGTGTGTGTGATTTAAATAACTGATTCGACCAGTTAAAACTTCGCTACATCCGTCGCGACGGCAATGAATTTTTGCATCTGAAGCCACTAAGTTAAGATGCTGTGTTCGTACGTGCTTACGGAGGATATCAATGCGTTTAAAAATCTTGTCCTTCTTTGCTGGTCCAGCCTCCTCGTCCGACTTACAGAGATCACATGTCAAATCTGGCCCTTGGATCTGCTGAACACTCACAATCGTCTCGTTTTTATACAGCTTCTGGACATCAGAGAGATGTACCGGCTGTTGCTTCTCCAACTTCGGCCCCTTATACTTGCGAGGGCATTCTTGTCTGTTGCAGATCAGTGCCAGGTTATCAACGAAAGCAATCCGCACTTCAATGACCTGATCCTCATCTAAATCATTGAGTGGCATGCCTAGCATTTTGACAATTGCAGCTCGCTCTTTGAGTTCGTACTTCTTTGGAGGGGCGGTGAGAGCATTAGCAGGGAAGATACCCTGCATTTGTCGATTAACCTCCTCAGTGTGGACGTTTATATGAAATTCTTTGATAGTCTTCTTGAGTAATTCGTCGCTTAATTGGCGTCTTAAATTGTTTATATTAGCTTGCGCCTCTTTATGTTGCTCGAACAACTTCGTTCCTTGAGCCGCCTTGATCGTGGTGTAGCCCTTCAGCTTGATCTCGTGGCCATATGTGTTACGTAAAGCAGATGCCTTGACGATGTCTGGATGATTTTTAATCTCAAGCTTCTGCTCATCTGTAAGGCACGAAGGGCATCTCCCATGACGAGCTAGCCGGCCGACTCTTCGTATGAGATCGTCTCGTCGTGGTGTGCCTAGATAGATGCCTTGGCAGTCTTTGTCGACGAAGTCTGGCATGTAGTACCGCTCGTAAACATCCCCACTATTGCCCATAATATGTCTGCGTTCTTCAGGGGTCAGTGCATCTGTGAAAGTATATATTAGCAAATAGGACAGCAGACACTAACAGAAGAATAGAGATGAAAAGGATTAATATCATACCATTCAGTTCCTTCCCCGAACCTCGCCGCAGGCCATAGAGCTCGAGCGCCTTCTCATATCCCATCACTCGACCAAGGCGAACAAAGTAATATCGATACTTCGCATACTGGAAAGGTTTGCTCTTAGAAATACGGACTCCATTAGCAGTGACCTTGACGTCGCGGAAGACAGGTCGTTCTGCCCATTCGTCGTCCCATTCAAGAGTAATGCGGTCAGCGTCTGGAGGGACGACTAGATTGTAGATATCCCGTAGAGATTTGAATTTGTTTTTGAACGCGTTATCAGCAAGAGCAAGTGCTAGCATAAAGCTGACTGCGCAACATGATAGGTCTTCCCCTTCATAGAATGTAAACTTCTTCCTGTTTGAATCAGTAAATTGCAGAAGCAAAGCAGCTTGGCTCCTGCACATAGATACCACTTACTTCTTAGACTTCCCTCCAGACCTTTTAATATGCTTGAGGTTTAAAGTCATGACGATTATTGGCCGTTTCCCTTTAACCGTAGAAGGGAATAGTTGGAATGTGATATCTGAATAGAGCAGAGGACGCTTCCCAACAAGAGCCTTTGGCCTCGAGCTTGTGCAGCCACCAAAATCCATTAGTAACGTTTCTTGTACCCGGAGTCGTTCATGGGGATATAACTCTGTATCATCTACCCAGTTGCCATGTTGTAGATTACATAGATCATCAACAAACAGCGCGTACTTCTCCTTTTCGGACGTATCAAGTTCGAGATATTGTGGGATCCACTTTTTCAAAGTTAGTATCATCTAGCTAAGTACTAAAAGGGGCAACTTACGTTACGAATATCAAATAAAATGTCGTCAGTCATATATCTCTTCGCTACTTGTGCATATAACATGCTGAGGGTCTTCCAGTACGTCACAATGGAGGATTCTTTCGTTATGCGTGAGTTTTCATATCTCCAGCAGAGGTATGCCTTGAAAATGGGTGCTTTGCCCTCAGTAAGGGCCTCTGATGGATTCTCGCCAAGTACGAAATCGAGATCTTCACCCTCAGGAGCGGCTTCTTTCTCGGCCTTTAACTTCGCCCAAAACCTACCAAGCAAGCGTAAGCAAAGACGTCTACATGCGCGCAGCTAACCAATAAAGACTTACAGAGCCCAAAATTCCTCTGCCCTCGCTATCATAACCTTCGTATCGTCGCCGTGATTTGATAGATTGACACCTGCTTTACTAAAATCTGCTATCTTTTGCCGGTAGGACACGGCTTCAGCGGAATCAGATTCACTTTCAGACTGGGAGTTGTAGCCAGAATCTGGGCGCAGCTCATCGCCAGCATGTGGAGATGCTAATTGCTTGCGGCGATGTATCTTTTTCTTTTGAAGTCGCGGTTCATGGAGTCGCCGTTGTTCCTCCATGTTTGCTAGCACTGCAGAAGGAACTCCACCTCGGCCATTGTGAAGCCCTACGCGTTGGGCGTGGCGTCGAGCGAGTTTTGGGGGTAGATTGGCCATGTCGCTGCAGAAGATAGCGTGTATTGCAAAAGGTGGCAGTTTGTGAGGTCAAATTATGGCGTTCAGGCTGGGAGGAGATTGTGCTCGACGTTGTGCTCGATATTCCAAGAAGCGTATATTCCTTTGGATCTGCAGATATCGCCTATAACAACCCGATCCTCTGGCCGTGTTGACTAGAGGATAGTTCTGGATGAGCTGGGCCCTACACTGATCTAAGAGTCGGACTTGGCTAGCGATACGCAGGTCCTTCGAATACATAATAGTAAGATATGAGTAAAGAGTGAAAGGTAAAGACGGCAGAGAAAATACAGTAAAGTGAAGTAAACCAGAAGGTTGCTTGAAAGCACTGAGCTGACAGAGCGAGTAAGGAGTGCGAGCGTGAGTGTGAGATGGTAGGATTATATACATTTTCTGTCACAGCAGGTCACGAAGTAGGTTGCGTGGGTTACTTTGCCTTGTTATTTTTACCTGGAAAATCGGCCCTCACATTTCGGGGGGCAACCAATTTCGCGATTGTGATTGTAGTTGTCCTTAAGGCGGCAAGCCAAATTTATGTTAGCGTGGAGTTAGCGTAGGTAACCGAGCGGAGAGGCCGCATAAAGCAGCGGGCAAATGCCGCCATAAACAGTTGCCAAATCGCCAACATGTAGTGTATAGTAGTAATAATTAATAGTAACGTTAGTAGCTGCTATTAATGCTTAATTAAACTCATATCAAATATAAGTCATAACTAATTGACTACTCTATGATCGATTTTGATTGAATAATATGATATCACTTGTAAATATAATATCACGTGTAAATATAATCACGTGTAATTATTTAACAGTGTGTAAATGGAACTATTATAGTTATACTATTCTCAACTTATACCTCAAAATGCATGTACAGTAACACTTAATAGTAACGTTATTAATATTCGATTGCACTTAAAGCTATTCCTAATAACATATCATGTGATGACATGTGGTGGCCCCCACTTATAATGTAAAAGACTGGACTGGACCGGACTGTTCTTAGGAAAGACCGAACGGTCTAGTCTTTTAAACAGTCCTCAATTTTCGCAAACAGTCCACACTCTAAAAAAAGACTGGACTATTATCAGTCCGGTCTTTTAAAGGGACCTCAACTTTAGCAAACAGTCTACACTCTAAAAAAAAGACTAGAATGTTATCAGTCCGGTCTTTTTGTCTCACGGTCCAGTCCTAAAAAAAAGACTGGACCGTAAAACAGTCCTCACTCAACATTAAAAGACCGGACCGGACCGGACCGTGGCCAGTCTACTTGAAAGGTGTTTTCCAAATTCTCAAGTTTGTTTGCTATAGTTTGTATAAAGGCAAACAGTTGTTGCATCTGCTGTTCAGCAGTAGTTGTAGGAGCTTGGTCGTCCTCCATTGTAGTATCGAAGTGCTGCTATAGAAATAGTTGAAGCTTGAAGCAGGCAAGGTGTAATGGTGGGTGCACCAGATATGAGAATCTAGCCACCCAAGGAAGGGATGAATTTACTAAGACAACACACTGTCTTAGGAAACAGAGCCAAAGGGTTGTAGCTTAGACTATTCCACAACGCAGCAATCAGGTGTATGATGTGGTGAAGTGGTTTAGACAAGTTGCAACAAATGTTGAGTCTGAGAACTCAGGGGTAAGTCAGAGGTTAGCACCTCACTGACTTTTCAAAAACAGAGAATAACAAGATCAATGCTTGGAAGCTTGGAAAAGACGTAGAAGTATGTGCTAGTCGATTTACTGTATTGCCTGCTTGCCCTTTCTTAAGGAAAGGGCAATCCTATTTATGCCAAAGGAGTGTAGTTCTCTCATTTTCCATGACTTTCCATGACTAACCAGGCTTGGTAAATGTATTAGAAATCAAGTGCAACCCACAACTAGCTTGCTAATCATGTAGTGAACGTAAGAGAATCCCATAGAACCATCTCTTGGGTTCCTAGCCTATAGGAAGTGAAAAGGAGGTCCAAGGTCAGAGTACCTATAGACAAATTATGTCATAACTTAACCAATCTTGTGGGTAACTAAGGAGCGATGACGTGTAATGAATCATAGAGGGTTGTAGAAGCTTCTAGAGCTATCGTTCATGTTCCTAGGCCTCTAGTTGGTAGAGATATGCCATGTGGTAGTATTAGCCCACCCCCTTAATGAGGAGATTTTCTTAATAACTTGTTCAATGAGTGTCCAAATGATATGCCGTAATGTATGTAGCATAAACAGATGTAGTAGAAGAGTTTGCAGCAATCGTTGAGTAGTATTGCTCTTGTTGTTGGTGTGATAAGCCAAGATATGTATGGTGACTTGTAGGTTTGAGGAGGAGATTTCTAAGTTTGCTCTTGAGTTTGATAGCAAACTGAGTGCAACGAATGTCAGTATGACAATGAGCCTTCTACATCAAGTGTGGTTTGTTCTAGGATCTTAAGACTCCTATGTAACGCTGACTTCTAAACGATAGAAGACACAGAGGTTCTCTTGCGTAAAGGTTTACTTATCAGAGGAGGCAGGGGATCAGACACAAAGGCTTCAAGTAACACGTTACTAGTATATAACAAATACTGTATTGAGTTGAGCACGAAGCTCCTATCTAAGGAAATACTATCTACTTATATAGTGGCGTCGTGCCTAGTGGACTCTTGGGAACTCACTCGAGTCCTCGGAGTCCTGGACTCTTAGGACTCTTCTCATCATCCTGCGAGTCCATCACGTGCCTAGTGGACTCCTGGGAACTCACTCGAGTCCTCGGAGTCCTGGACTCTTAGGACTCTTCTCATCATCCTGCGAGTCCGTCACGTGATACTTTCGGAACTACTATTCCCCGCTGCCCCTCCAGGTACCAGGGCCGGTCTCATGCGACCTCCCTCCTTCCTGTCCTGTAGTTGGCCAGCCTTCTTGTTCCGTCGTAACATCCTAAATACTTCTTTAAGATGAGACTACTCATTAGTAGTCAAAGTATCATCCTAAAGCTCGTCCTTGTGCTCTAACCGAATTGCAGGCTGAACACTAGGCCGTAGAGTGCAGCCAATCATATGAGACTATGAGTTCTAATGAGTTGAGTTTAAGCCTTTTGCCTTGGCTATACTCTCTAAATTCAGCAATTCGTTATGGCGACTGTTGTACAAAAACAACAATATTATGAAGCTTTCTAAGAGCCCTATTTGTGCGCTAATTAGCTAGTTTAAGTGGTGTTGGATTAGGTGAGACGTCGTGCTTAGTATCACCAAAAAGGAAGGCTTGAACTGTGAGATTGATGATGTGACCCATATAATGAAGTCTATGGTGGTTGCTATCGTAATCAATTTGGTACTCATTCTTGAGATCTAGATATGTAATTAGATTTGATTTAATTGGGCTAATAACCCTCCCTTAACGTTTTTCTTACTCATAGCCACTTCACAGGCAGCGCGAAATGCTAGGAGGAAGTCACCTTAGTAATGTGGGTTTGGCCCCATCTCATTAACATCTCAATTTGCATACTATATGTTACGATTATAGCTTACAGCTTGTTACAGTTGTTACAGTTGTTACAGGTGCAGCCTTAGCCACCAAGGCTACAACCACTAAGCAGACAACTGTATATTACGAGGAATAGCCTCACCTTCCTTCCTTCTTCTTCTTCTTCTCTCTTTAGATTCAATCTAGCTTATTATTCTCCGGACTGGCTTCTTGACCTCTGTGACCATCGTAACAGAAAGAATGGTTGTTAAGGTCTGAGGGGGCCGCCCAGCTGTCACAGGGCACATTGGACCAGTGGATGATGTAATAGCTTGGCAAATTTGATATCTCGGTTTTCTTGATAAGTCTATATATTTTAGCTGCCTACAATGTATCGACTTAGCGCGACTCGACTGTACTGGGAAGGTGGGCGAAGACATATTAGATTATTTTTGATATCCTCTAATTTACGAGCAATTGGACGTTATGGGCAGCGTTTCCAACTTCGTGGTTTCGGAGCGTTTCCGCTGTTATCGCCAACCTCGGCACGGGGAGCTCATCCCCAAAAACCATTGGAGACGGCAGGGGACATATATATACGCCAACCACCACACCCTATTGGATACCTTGCGCTCGTGGGACCAAAGCTACCCTGGAAAGATCTGCGCCGTGGGATCGCCGTTGTTCGCGTCAGCACCGCCAGCGCGCTGGCATAACCAATCCCGGAACTCCAGCAATGCCTACTATGCCACTCACCAGCTCCAACATGTGCCGTTGCATGACTATGGCTTCTCCGCGGCATTTGAAGCTTCGAGGTAGCAGCTGGCGAAGCTTAACGCAGGTGAACTCTGCGGCCCTTCCGCGCGCCGAAGGCAACGTGCCTAGCGCACGCCTCGCCCGCTGCCAGAATCCCAAACGTGGATATGAACCCCCCAGGCATTTCCTTGTTGGCAGCTATGGCAGGATAACTCCTATCAAATCCCTTCCACGGACAGGAACACGCCTCTACACCACCACCCCTACCGCCCTCAAACCCCAACACCCCCTCCCCGCCTCCTACTACCGCGGCGGCACCTCCCGCGCCCCCATCCTGCACCTCTCCTCCCTCCCCGCACCCCCTCCCTCTGGCCCCCCCTCTTCCGCACCATCCTTGGCTCCCCCGACCCCTTCGGTCGGCAACTCAACGGTCTCGGCGGCGGGATCTCTTCGTTGTCTAAACTATGTCTCGTCGGCCCCTCCGCGAGGGAGGGGGTAGATGTGGATTTCACGTTTGTGCAGATGGGGATTAGAGATGGGGTGCTGGATTATAGGGGGAGTTGTGGGAATATGACGGCGGGGGTGGCGGCGTTTGCTGTTGATGAGGGGTTGGTTGAGGTACCCCCCGCTGGAAAGGATGGGGAGGAGGGGGGGGAGGCGGTGGTGCGGATTTATAATACCAATACCGGGAAACTGATCGAAGCCACCGTCCCTGTCATCGCGGGGGAAGTGGCGGCGGTGGGCGACTTCGCGATCTCAGGCGTACCAGGGACAGGGGCGTGTATCAAGCTCGCCTTCCTCGAACCAGCGGGGTCGGTGACGGGGAGGTTGTTACCGACGGGAGGGGGGATGGATGTGTTTGATGGTGTTGAGGCGACGTGTATTGATGCGTCGAATCCGTGTGTTTTTGTTGAGGCGGAGAGTATGGGTGTTAGTGGCACGATTTTACCGGCTGAGATGGGGGGGCATCCGGATTTACTGAGGAGGTTGGAGTCAATTAGGTGCCAGGCGGCGGTGAGGATGGGGATGTGCTCCAGGATTGAGGATACCCCAGCTGGGGTACCCAAGATTAGTCTTGTTTCCCCACCTACTGGGAACGAGGGAGAGAGGGGGGAGGGAGGCGTGGATATTGTCGTCCGAGCTGTCTCGACGGGGGATCCGCATGGGGCGGTGCCGATTAGTGTTGGGGTCTCTGTGGCGGCGGCGGCGGGGGTGGAGGGGTCGGTTGTGGCGAGGGTTATGAAGGGGGGTCGGAGGGGGGAGGGGGTGGTGGTGGCGCATCCGAGTGGGAGGATGGTGGTTGATGCGAGGTTTGAGGGGGGAGGTTGGAGAGGGCGGTGGTGTTTAGGACGGCGAGGAGGATTATGAGGGGGTGGGTTTATGTTTAGGGAGAGGGGGGTGAGTGATTGGGGAGGGGATGAGAGAGAACTCGTGGTGCTGAAGAGGAGGCAGTTACGAGGGCGCATTGGAAACGAGAGAGCGATGTCCCGAATGAGGCTGTTACGAGGGCATATTGGAAGTGAAACACGCAGTGTGATTACTGAGGACTCGCGATGCAAGTCACAGAAGAGAGGATGATCCACATTTTGCGATGAGATCTTCGTTCCTGGGCTGATGTGCATTAATGATGTCTACAACACACGATACTCGCACTGGAATCAGAATCTCATCGTAGAAGTCACAGAGGTCACAGAGGACCGAGCAAGTTAACTATCATGATTATATAATTACGTATGTTAACTTAGCTTAAGTTAAGTTAGTTAACTGAACTTAAGTTAGCTTACGAGAGTCTTACGTAAGTTTATTTATTACCAGGCTACGGACATAACATCCCCCACTCCGAACTCCGCCCGCACGCAAACTGGCTCACGTAATAAATTACATAAGCTACCAAATCTAAGTTATCCGACGTATCCGTACGAGTATCCTAAACTGCTAAACTCCACCGCAAGCCACAATCTCCAGCCACAAAACCAGCCACTCTCTCACCCACTCCACTCCCCTCCCGTCACCTTCTATCATTGCTCTCCTCCCTCCTCCCTCTATCTCTATCTTTCTTCTCACTCTCTTGTCCCTCTCTCTTTCTCTTTCTTACTTCCTCTCTCTTTCCCGTCTTTACAACTCTCTTCCTCCTCTATTTACCCCCCCCTTCCCCCTCCCCCCCCCCCCCAAGCCGCAACTTGACTCTCCTACTATCACCAATTACTACAATTCCCTTTATTCCACCTGATCCTTCTCCCACTATTTACCAAGAGGGCGCTACAAAGCTTCCCAACCCCCTAGCGAATGAACGCGATGCAGCCGACTTTGGCCCCTGCGCCTCCACATCCGGCTCAGGTAAGCAGTGTTTACTCCTCCTCCTTTGAGAAACCCCAAAGCCCGCCCCTCCGTCGCGTTTGTTTGCGCCCGAGAGAGACAGACAAGGCGATAGCTGAAAAGGCTCACTCACTATAATTCCCCGCGCCCGCGCCTTTGCGCTCTTCCTGCATCTTCATTGCTGACTCAACGGTCCTGCACCGAAAATAGCAGGATATGCATTCAGATAATGGTACGTACAAATACAAATCAAAATATCATCACGAGATTAGGAAGGACCGGAGGGGGCAACAGCGACTCACCACCTCCTCTCTCATTGTCCGCCGCTCCCTACACCACCAACTCACCCCCCCCCACCCCCCCCCACCAAATCCCCCTCTACCCTGAAGTCCTGGGCTGCATAAACCTAACACCCCCTCCCTCCTCTTGCTCACCTCTCTATTTCCCTGGCTCAGCATTGTGAGCGTGCTGACATGATTTCGCGTCTCCTCCCAGACCTAAGAGCCCAGCTGGCTGCAGTCATCAACAACCCACCAAACCAGCACCAGTCGCAACAACAACAACAACAACAGCAGCAGCAGCAGCAGCAGCATCCTCACCACCAGCCGCCGCCGCCGCATCTCGTACATGGCTACAACGACGTGGCTTCCAGCTCTGCAAGTCCGCACAACATCGATCCCGCCATCGCGGGCGCCGCGCACGCTCACCACGCCCTCGACATGATGGGCGGCAGCGCCGGCGGCGACAGCGGGGACGACAACGGTGATGGCCGGAAGGGCGGGAAGCGCGAGCTCTCACTGTCGAAACGCGCAGCGCAAAACCGCGCAGCTCAGGTACGTTGGGATCATTTCTACGCGTTGGCGCCGATAAGTCGTTCTATGATGGTTCGCGCATTGTCGTTGGGTTGCGATGGGGACGCGCGACCTAAGGTCTGCTTTGTCAACTCTTATGGCATCACCATCCACAATCCAGCTTACGTAAACCATCAGCGCTTCAATCACCCAACGTCCCTTCATCAAAGCAATTTATGGAATATAATCCATCAAATACCCCCTTTGCTATCAAACCCATGAATTAACCCGATCGATCGCTAACCAACCCTTCCCCCGCAGCGCGCCTTTCGTCAACGCAAAGAGGGCTACATCAAGAAGCTTGAAGAGCAGGTCCGCGAGCTCCACACCCTTGAGGACAACTACAAGGTCATCCAGAACGAGAACTACTCCCTGCGCGACTACATCCTGCAGCTCCAGCGCCGCCTCCTCGAGTCACAAGGCGAATACCCTCAACCTCCCGCCGCCGTCTCCGTCCTCCTCAACCACCCCCACCAACACCAACATGAAGCTCCCCGCCACGGCCCCGACCCGACCCCGCCCGCTGCGCACGCACCCACCGCCGTGATGGGACAGTCGCCAGACCAGCAGCCCGGCAGCAGCCTGCAGAGCCAGATGGCGCCGCTGCAGGCGCAGCTCCAGGCGAGTGCGGCGCAGGCGGTGGCGGATCTGAGGGATAGCGCGGCGAAGCAGAGGCAGGTGCAGGGGGAGTACCTGGCTAGGGGGACGTATAAGGGGGAGGGAGAGGGGGCGGCGGAGGAGGAGCTGAGTAGGCAGTTGCAGGGGAGTGCGGATATACCGGGGGGGATGGGGGGGATGTGAGGGGGGGGTGGTTGACTAGGGATGGGTGCCTGGAGGGTTGAGTCATGAGGGGTTGTGACTCTTTGGCTGCCTGTCACAACAATCCCCCGTCGCCTTCCCGCTGTAGGTACCTCGCACTCATGACACTCCGTTGCCTCTCCGCTCGTCACTCGCAACTCCATCGTCGTCGTCACACTTGTGGCACTCTCGTTGCCCAAGTCGACGTTGCCAAGAATAGGACTCCACCCACCTCTTCTCACCCAGATGGATGTCTCCCATCTACCTCGCTGCTTCCCTGCTTAACTCGCTTTTTTTTCCGTCTTATCTCACTTCTTCACACATTTTTTTGTTTTTGGATTCAATGGGTTACTTCGCTGGTTGCGTTTTGTCGTAGAGCGGTGGGAGGGTTTGGTTGGTTGGTGTGGTGGCGTTTTTTTTATTTGTTTGATTTGTGCTTGTGGGATATGTCGTTGTTGGAAGGGGATGCGCTGGGTTGATGAGATGTGTTGGGGGAGGGAGGAGGGGGAGGAAGGGTTGTATGGATGATTCTGCGAGATGGGATGGGGTGCGATAGAGGCAGCAGTGGGAGCGAATGGTTGGAATTGAAATGGAGGATGCGGAAAAGGAAGAGGGAGGGAGTAGAGAACTCGGATGAATGATCTCACGCTTCACGACTGCTTGTTAAATGTACTTCTCTGTTTCTTGTCATGTTCTCGTGTTGGTCTTTGTTCCCTCCTGCCCGCCTTTGTCGTTTCCACAAGACCTCCTACCCCCTTTCTTCCCCGCCCCCCACCAACATCACAAACTACATATAAAAGGACCGCCACCCCCTTCCCAGCCACCGCACAAACGGATTTGACGTCGACGTGGCACGAGGCGATGTACAAGACCGCGCCGAAGACGAACTCGAGGCCAAATGCAGAGCGGTTAGATCATAGATCTGTCGGGGATTAGTTTTGGGGCTTGCGGATATGCGAATATGGGTGTGGGTTTGAGGGTTGACTGCTCAGTTCAACCAGGGCGCGTATCCAACGCCACTCCCGCTACGCCCACTACTCCAATCAAGCCCCCATTCCCAACGTCTTTGGCACTGCTGAACACATCTCATACACGATAAAAAGGACGGCCCAATCTCACCAGTAGAGGGTAGCTGGAAGCTGAGCTGGGCTCTCGTCAGCGCTTCATCTGGTTGGTGCGTATTTCTCGTTGGTGGTGGGTGTTCTGCTGTCGTTGCTGTGTTGTCGTCGGGAGGGAGGTTGGGTGCGGAGGGTCTTCACTCCGAACTCCGAACCCGAACTCCGAACCCCGAACCCGTGCGCTATAGTGCCAAGGCGGAGGGACTTCACTCCGAACCCCGCACGGGATCGTATATAGTAGGACGCGGGACCTCTACAGTACTCGGTGTTCCACCCACTCGCTTTGCTCGTAGGTGGCGACAGCGATATGTGCAACACACAAAATGAAAGAAATAAGCCTCATATAGCAACTATGTAACTATATAATTAAATAATAAAATCAATAGAGCTACTATCACTATCTCCACTACTACTGTCGCTACTAATCTCAATGTTACTATCACTATGATCCTTACCATACCGTAAAATTATCACTTTGGATTTTAACCCAACCTTCTTCCGCTCTGCTACCCTCTTCCTCTCAACCCTTCGCTCTTCGATTTCAATTTTCCGTTGTTGCACCTGTAGCTGCTTTACTACTTGCTTTGATTCCTTTGCTACTCTTGCCTCTGCCTTTGCTTGTAATTTTGCTTCCTTCTCCTCACGTAACAGTCGGGCGTCTGATGCATATAACTGCCCCCCCTTCTGTAGCGATTTCCGTGCCCTTGCCTTTGCTGTTTTCTGCTCTGCTGACCGTAAGGTAACAATGTCAAGCTCGGTCTTATAGAGCTCAGCCCGATGTAAAACAACTGTAGTTCCACGTGCAAATGATTGAAACCCTTCTCTTGACGGTGATGAGAAAGCTGCCTCTACTCTCTTCTGCCAATATTTAACTGCCTGTATAGTTTGCACACTAGTTTTTGGAGTTGAGATACGGTCGTACGAAGCAAATGGCTCGTAGTCTGGTGTTTGATTCCAGGTCTCTTGTATTTTATCAATTACTAGTGGAGGATTATATGGATATAGTCGTGCATTTCTCCAACCTAATTGAATTGTCTGGACAGTTAAGGATTGCCGTCGGATTTGTGGAAGGTTGGAAAGGAACGTACGTAGCTTATACTCATAGTCATAGCTACGTACTGCTTGATCAACTGCCTTTTGATGGAAGTGTTTGCACTGCTTAAAAACTGCTACATCAAGAGGTTGTAGTAGATGCGTAGTATGAGCAGGAAGGCAGCAAATAACAATGTTATGCTCTTCTGCTAATGTGAGAAAGCGCTCCGTTTTATGAGAGTCATGGCCGTCGAGTAATAGGAGGCGGGTGTCGTCTGGTGCCATATGCTCTGCAGATAGTTGAATAAAATGGATGAGGTATTGAATTGCAATGTCGTCGTTGTAACCACTGTTGTGATGGGATCGTACGATCGGGTCGCAAGTCTGCAACAGCCCGTAAAACCATTGATCAGTTTGCAGGGACCCCACGCTTAAGTTGGTCATATATAAATTGACAAACTGCAGTATCTTGTTCTTGAGATAAAACTCGGTTTTTATCTCAAGAACAAGATACTGCGGGGAAGGAGAGGGGTAGTGTAACGCTGACTTCTAAATGATAGAAGACACAGAGGTTTCTTGCGTAAGGTTGACTTGACAGAGGAGGCAGGGGATTAGACACAAAGGCTTTCCAAGTAACACGTTACAGTATTGTAAAGAATACTATATTGAGTTGAGCACGAAGCTCCTATCTAAGGAAATACTATCTACTTATATAGTGGCATCGTGCCTCATGGGTAATCTGGATAGTTGGCGGATAGCTAGATATTCAGGATAGTTCGTGGATAGCTCAACTATCCAATATCCACTAGTTTCTGCAACTATCCATTAGCCCCGTCACATGGCAGCCTACCCCGCTTCCCACTGTGACTCACACGTCACGTTATGTGACTCACACGTCACGTTACTAGGCCCTGGCCCTGTAACCATGACATCATGTTACTATAGCCGTAACAGGTAGTAATGTGTCGTCGGAGTGTCTCACGGTTGACATTAAACTTGCGGGCAACCCAAGTAATTGTATAAGTATCTGGTTGTTTCAAGTAGAACTGCCGGGCCTCAATGTAATGTTGGGTGCACCAGATATGAGAATCTAGCCACCCAAGGAAGGGATGAATTTACTAAGACAACACACTGTCTTAGGAAATAGAGCCAAAGGGTTGTAGCTTAGACTATTCCACAACGCAGCAATCAGGTGTATGATGTGGTGAAGTGGTTTAGACAAGTTGCAACAAATGTTGAGTCTGAGAACTCAGGGGTAAGTCAGAGGTTAGCACCTCACTGACTTTTCAAAAAACAGAGAATAACAAGATCAATGCTTGGAAGCTTGGAAAAGACGTAGAAGTATGTGCTAGTCGATTTACTGTATTGCCTGCTTGCCCTTTCTTAAGGAAAGGGCAATCCTATTTATGCCAAAGGAGTGTAGTTCTCTCATTTTCCATGACTTTCCATGACTAACCAGGCTTGGTAAATGTATTAGAAATCAAGTGCGACCCACAACTAGCTTGCTAATCATGTAGTGAACGTAAGAGAATCCCATAGAACCATCTCTTGGGTTCCTAGCCTATAGGAAGTGAAAAGGAGGTCCAAGGTCAGAGTACCTATAGACAAATTATGTCATAACTTAACCAATCTTGTGGGTAACTAAGGAGCGATGACGTGTAATGAATCATAGAGGGTTGTAGAAGCTTCTAGAGCTATCGTTCATGTTCCTAGGCCTCTAGTTGGTAGAGATATGCCATGTGGTAGTATTGGCCCACCCCCTTAAGGAGGAGATTTTCTTAATAACTTGTTCAATGAGTGTCCAAATGATATGCCGTGATGTATGTAGCATAAACAGATGTAGTAGAAGAGTTTGCAGCAATCGTTGAGTAGTATTGCTTCTGTTGTTGGTGTGATAAGCCAAGATATGTATGGTGACTTGTAGGTTTGAGGAGGAGATTTCTAAGTTTGCTCTTGAGTTTGATAGCAAACTGAGTGCAACGAATGTCAGTATGACAGTTTCTTGCTGGTAGGGGGGGCTGTCGTTGATGGGTTCTTGTCAGGGGTTCCTGTCACAGTCTGATGCTGCTGTTGTCAGAGGGGGAGACGGATATACTGGGGAATGCGTGTGTGTCATACTGACATTCGTTGCACTCAGTTTGCTATCAAACTCAAGAGCAAACTTGGAAATCTCCTCCTCAAACCTACAAGTCACTATACATATTTTGGCTTATCACACCAACAACAAGAGCAATACTACTCAACGATTGCTACAACCATCTATGATTCATTACACGTCATCGCTCCTTAGTTACTGGGCCGATATTACCACATAGCATATCTCTACAACCCTCTATGATTCATTACATGACATCACTCATACTACCACATGACATATCTCTACCAACTAGAGGCCTAGGAGCATGAACGATAGCTCTAAAAGCTCCTACGAACCTCTATGATTCATTACATGTCATCGCTCTTTAGTTACCCACAAGATTGGTTAAGTTATGACATAATTTGTCTGTGACATAATTTGTCTATGACATAATTTGTCTATAGGGGTACTCTGACCTTGGACCTCCTTTTACTTCCTATAGGCTATGAACCTAAGAGATGGTTCTATGGGATTCTCTTACGTCGACTACAGTTACCAAGCCTGGTAAGTCATGGAAAGTCTTGGAAAATGAGAGAACTACATTCCTTTAGCATAAATAGGATTGCCCTTTCCTTAAGAAAGGGCAAGCAGACAATACAGTAAATCGACTATCACATACTTCCACGTCTTTTCCAAGCTTCCAAGCATTCATCTTGTTACTCCTTGTTTCTGAAAAGTCAGTGAGGTGTTAACCTCTGACTTACCCCTGAGTTCCCAGACTCAACATTTGTTGCAACTTGTCTGAACCACTTCACTACATCACACACCTGATTGCTGTCACACACCTGATTGCTGCGTTGTGGAATAGTCTAAGCTACGACCCTTTGGCTCTTTTTCCTAAGACAGTGTGTTGTCTTAGTAAATTCATCCCTTCCTTGGGTGGCTAGATTCTCACATCTGGTGCACCCACCATTACAGTGTGTGGTCCTGGATTGGTAAGTGATTTTTTCGAGGAGGGATACGGAAAACAGCACCAGTGTAAGATATTCCGGCCCTCAGTTTGTCTTGCCGGATGGACTCGTCTCAGGGATGGATCCATCCCGCATTTCACATACCGGTTTCTCATCCCCGTCCAATTCCTCACTTCAACCCCGACACATCTCCAACACACCCACACTCCCACTCCCCACCACCAACTCATCACGGTCTCCTCGGCACTGCTGAATACATCTCGTACAATATAAAGGCTCTCCCCGCGAGAGATAAATGAGGCAAGACGGCATAACAATCACCAGAGAGAGAATACCCTCATGTTCAAAAGTGTCGTAAAAAATATTCTTTGGCCATCGTCATCGTTTTGCGCTGGAGATGGTTGTGGCCTTCTCCGTTGGGTGTAGCTGTCGTTGTTATCACTGTAGGGTTCTCGTCAGCGTGGGGTGGTGGGGATAGGGGTTCTTGTCACCGCGCCGCTTCTTTGTCGCTGGCGGGGGGTTCTGCTGTCACCGTATTTTTTGGTCACCTCATTACTTGTCATCTTGTCTTCTCGACATTATCTTTACTGTTTAGAGAGAGCTGGCTGCGAACTTTCCGAATCCTAAGGACATCATTGTTCTGCAGTTGGCCGCGTGCACAACTAGTGGAAGCAAGACATTCCACCGCGATTTTAGGTGTGGGTTCTTTTGGATCGAAGCTATCTTGACCATGCACTCGTTGAGGCCAACTGAGGAGGGGCTGTAAACTGGTGCGAAGATTCTCCGAACTCCTCTCCTCTTTAGCTCATCTGCCATCATTCCGGTAACGAACTGTGATCCATTGTCTGAATATGTCGCGCGGGGGTTCCCGTACACATCTAGTATGTCATGCTTAAGCGACTGGTAGCATGCTTCTGCAGTAGCAGCGATAAAGGGATCGCCCCAGATTTTGCGCGTTTAGGTACTTGACCTTCACGAAGATCCAGCGGTGGCCATCCTCAGAGGGCGGAAAGATAGGACCTATTAGGTCGAAGCCTACCAAGTCAAATGGTTCCTGGGTTAGGATCGGGAGAAGCCTTTGGGATGGTTTCATTGGCGTTAAGGCAATTCCAGCACGATGCGCAGTGCGTGCGAATGTCTTGACGTCGAGTAGGCCAGTAGAATTTTCCGAAGGCTGCTTGTAAACATATGCCTGCTGCGTAGTGGCCGTGTTGCTCATGTATATGGTTGAGCACCCATTTAACCGTCTTTCTTGGGACGCAAAGGCTCGTCTTGCCGTTCCTTTCCATGTATGCTACTTCGACGAGCTTAAATCTCGCTGCCTTTCTGAGTAATCTCTCGTTATTTGCCCGCTCAAGTGTTGTGGGATCTCCTGCCTGGTACTTCTCTGGGTGGCGCAAAACATCAATCACTTCTGTATACCATTCGTCCTCAATCAGTGTGTTCAACTTGCCAACGTGCTGAATGGTTGGGAGGGTTCTCGGTCGATGTCTACCGGAAACGCAATCAATTCGTCGTCGTCGGTCTTTTTCGGGTATGTGGATGTGTAAGGGATAGCCCGTCCGCGACAACGAGTTCTTTTCCGGGCACATGTACGTAGTCACAGAAGAACTGACTAAAACGTATTTGCCAGCGAGCAATCCGGTCTGGTACTGTTTCGCCCTTAAGCATGGGGATCAGGGACTTGTGGTCCGTGTAGACAATGATAGGGAAGGGAGAGCCCCTTGTAAGCCATTCTGTTTCCTCTAAGCTTGCGAGTACTGCAAAGGCCTCACGCTCCGTTACTGTCCATCGGCTCTGGGGTCCTGTGTGAGACGGGTAGAGATGAACATCACTATCTTTCGAACTTCCGGCTTGGTTTGCTTTGCGTTAGTGCCTGGAGGGTGGTCGGGGATCTGGAAGAGACAGGCTCCGATGCCAGTCTTTGAGGCGTCGGCTGAAAGATGGTATTGCACGTTTGGGTCGCCAGCTGTAAAAAATGTGCACTTCTTCTATTTCGCGCCAGTAGACAGGGTCTTCGTCTCGTACAATAAGGCCGATTTCATGATGGTGGTTAGATCTGCTCTCCCTGGAATAAATGTCTTAAGGTACGGTAGCGCGTACAGGATCCGGAGGAGTTCCTCTTCGCAGGTGGGGGATTTAATGTCCCGGAAGGCAGCGAGTTTGTCGGTAGATGGTCTTATCCCTTGTTGGGTTCGTGTAAAACCTAGGACATGCAACTCACTTGTGAAAAAACGTGCTTTTTTCGGGTTGAGGGTAAACTTAAACTATAGCAACCTTGGAAAGTAGTGTACCTATAGAAAATGGAACAGCTCTTGAAACGACCGCCCTCCTCCAATGTCGTCGTCGACGAAATGAGAACAGCTTTGCCTAGGGCTGCCTCGTGTCAGGTTCTGGAAATGGTTCAGGAATCGGTCCTGTGATAATGTCCTTCGCCTTGGAGTAGGTTGAGGGCGCGCCTGTCAATCCCTGACCCATGCGGAGGTAGGCCATTTGGCCGATATGTGTAGAGAAACCCGTTTTGTAGATGTGTCGGTGGTGGAGAGGGATGGCCCAAAACCCGTTAGCACCATCTGCTTGGAAGAACGTCTTTATCCACTTCTGCCCAAGAGTCTGGAGAATTGGTTCGATCCTGCGCATGGTGTAAGCGTCTTTGATTGTTGGATCGTTTATAGGTATGAAGCTATGAACCATGCGCATGGTTCCCTTCGTGTTCTTACCGGATGGTCTGGTCATGTTCTGCTGCATTATGCTCGAGAACTTCGTTAACTGTTGTCCCAAATACGTTGCCCGTTCTTAAGGCCATTATGATGAGTTGTTCATCAAAATTTCTTTGGTTTTTCTTCTTGCGTGGTAGGCAGGATGGGGGTGGGGATGAGGGGCTGGAGGAATATCTTGGGAAGTGGCTGGACTGAATGTGAGGGGACCGAAGAAGGGGGTAAGACAAGTAAGCATTTCTCTCATCGTACAATCACAGAGCTTAACGTCGCCGCCGAGATACTTTGGCTCATTGCTTGTCTACTCCTTGCTGGTTCTGATTTCTCTTGCCATATCTCTCACACTCAGAGGATCAGAGATGTAGTCTACTCATGATAGAGACTTATCATTTTCCTGGGATCCCAAGCCAATCCCGCAGTGGATTTATCATATATCCAGCAATTACATACCCATCCCCCATTCCCGAACCCCTATCTGGTTATAAAACCCCACATCGTATCGAACCAGCCTCCGTTTCCCAGAACAGATATCACGCTCTCAGTCACTGTCAAGTCACGGATTGTGGACCCAGACTAACCGCACGTGCCGCTCCTTCCGCCGTTGGCGCCATCCCACCATCGCCGGCGCCCCTTTCCTCCTTCCACAACATAACTACAATATCCGCTCCTTCCACTTTCCACAGCACAACTTCAACCACCGCACCTTCCCTCCCTCATCATCGAAATACACAGTCAATCCCACCCCCCCCGACGCATCGCTTCACCTCGCCAAACCCCGTCTCCATGAGATTTATCAATCTCCCAAAAAACCTCAAAAATCAATATCTCCTCCCACAGGCATCTGGGGGAGTTCTCATATAAGCCAAAAAAATTGCAAAAAATAGAGGATTCTCCTGGAAAGGGGGAAATACCCGCACCCAACCACTGCATGCTTCTTCTACAAGCCTTTGAACTTCGTGGGTCCTCCAGGATGATAACCAGGTACAGCCAGGCCGAGCGCGTGCAGAGCGGCGTGTGCACTGGATCTGCCAAGTTACCATCCCAATTAATGGGAGAGGACATAGACTGGATTATATAGTTGGTTCCGGAGTCGCGTTGTGTCTTCATTTGCAAATGCTGTATGCAACAATGCTTTTTTATAATTCAAGCTGAAATATGAGAGGAGATATGATAATGAAGAGCAGATTGGAAAAAAATAGAAGTTCTGAAAGCAGCGGTGGGTTGAGAAATAAATGAAGGGCTGTTCTGCTGGACATAAATGAGAGGTTTGGAGGGGAGAGCGTGCAGCGACAGTAGGAGGAGGAAGGCATGTGAGAAAGTAGGCTAGAGTGGGAGCCAGCACACCTCGTTTCCAGCGCATTTGCTCGTTTTCGGCGTGAGGCGGCAGTAAAAACAAAAGAAAATAGCTAAAAAGGGGACACAATGATGAGAAGAAGAAGGTAAGATATGAATAGGAGATTTGACTAGCTGACAAACCACCAGAACCAACCACCACACCACACGAGAAAGGTAGGTTTATTATAGAGTGTCTGTGGAGCTCACTCATCTACGAGGAAGGGGTGCCTTTTATATGCTTTCGGGAAGAGGGGCGGAGGCCGAGGGCCGAGCCTACCCGTTTCTCGATCCGGGAAACTAACGGCGAGTATGTGGGGAAGAGAGTTTGATGGTAGATTGGAGGGCGAGAAGTTCTCGTGGTGTATTTGGGTTGTTGGGTGGTTTGGAATGGTGATTGCTGGTGGTATTGTCTGTGTCTTGGATAGTAGCGTAGAGATCTTGTATGGAAGGAGGAAAGTGACAATAATCCTCCCAGGAAGACAAGATATTGTGCACACACACATGCAAATAGGAAATAGAACAACGAGAACACCTCGCCGACGAACATACACATACACACGCATAAGCACATCACATCACCAATCCCCTACACCACAAAAGCCATCAGCACCAGCAGAAAACGTCTAAAACCCCCATCCCATTTATGAACAAAACTATTTATAACCCACAGGCCCCGCGACCATCGTGTACTTGTGCTGCTGGCTTCTCAAAACTCGCAATCCCAGCAAAAAAAAAAGGAGTAAAAAACGCCACTCTCGGAACAGAGAAGGAAAAGATAACAAACAGGATGTACGTGAGTGGACACCACCCGGACGGAGAGAGAGCTGCGTTGCTCGCATCCGCCTCTGCGAAAGAGTGACACAGGAGAGCGACAGCGAGCAGCATGCTGGGAATTCTCCCCTCCGTTCGGTCCTCTATCAAACGCCGTCTCATCGCAACAGCGCCCACCCCCAACCAATTAGGCCCTTCACCCAACCACGTCCTCAGACCCTGACACCCCTCTAACAGCACTTCCCACCCACACTGCTTCCCTGCGCCACATCCACCCCCTTACTCTCCTCCGTCTTCGCGCTGTCGACAATCCGTCTCTTGATATCCGCCGCGAGGCTGAAGAATGCCTTCTCGACATTGATGTTCGCCTTCGCGCTGACCTCGAGGAAGGGGATGCCCAGCTCGTCGGCGAGGGCTTGGCCACGCTCGGTCGACACGGTGCGCTTGTCGTCCCAGTCGCACTTGTTGCCGATGAGGATCTTGTTCACGCCTTCCGTGGCGTGCTGCTCGACGTTGGAGAACCAGGTGCGGATGTCTGTGGAGTGGGGAGGGGGTGGTTAGCATGTGCTCGTTCTTCGTTATAATTCCGTCACCGGGGGCGACGAGGATGGACGGCCAGCTCGGGAACAGTCAAGGGGGGAACAAACTGTTAAAACTCCTCTCGTCTGTAACATCGTACACTAATAAAATGCCCATGGCGCCGCGGTAGTACGCCGTGGTAATAGTGCGGAAGCGCTCCTGGCCCGCCGTATCCCAGATCTGCAGCTTGACGCGCTTGCCGTCCAGCTCGATGGTGCGGATCTTGAAGTCGATGCCGATGGTGGTGATGAAGGAAGGGGTGAAGGAGTCCTCGCTGAAGCGCAGGAGGCAGCAGGACTTGCCGACGCCCGAGTCGCCGATGAGGAGGAGCTTGATCTGCGCGCGGTTTGTTAGCGGAGGGATCGGGAGGTGGGGATGCGTGGCAGCCGGGCCGTACCAGGAAGTCATAGTTGCGGGATCCGGCCATCTTTGCGGCGGTGGTGGTGGTGGTGGTGGTGATGGTGATGGGAGGGGGGGGGGGAGGACAACGAGGTAGTCGTCGTCGTTGTTGTGGGGTCTGGTCTAGGTAGCGGGAACAGGAACAGATCGCGAGGCGTAGATTTCACGAGCGAGGTGTCGATTGGCATGAAGATCTCCCGGGGAGTGCAGAATGGCGAGATCGAAGCTGTAGCTGTGATCTGTTGATTATTTCGTCGCCGGCGTAGGAATCGTTGAGCTGGTGATGCGACGACGTTCAGTGGGAGGCAAATCAATCAAGGTACCGTATATTATGATGGGCGGCGGCGGTCGTGGGCTCCGCTAGAACTGGAGAACTGGATGACCCCTGTAGGTAGCGAGGTGGTCTTGCGTTCCCCACGACTGACCTCGTGCAAATACGATACAGAGGATACAGAGGATACAGATTATAACGAATAATTATTTAGTTGTAGGTCTGGTATCCTGATACTATATTTCATTGTCTATATTTTTTGTTTATATCGTGTTTCCACAAGGAAGGAGATGCTTAAAATGTAGGTCGGGTAACGTCCCTACCTACCAAATTTAACACGCGTTTTCTTAACAACCACCAATGGAAATCCAATCCCAAGAACCAATCCCAACAAGCACGAATCATCTTAGCTATCGAGGCTATCCGATCATCTAAGAAACTTGGTCGTCGCTCTGATGCAAATCTCTACAATGTCCCTTATACTACGCTTTCTTATAGAATTACTGGCCGAACATCTCGTCGCAAACTTAAGGCCAATTGCCACAAGTTGACTGAAGTAGAAGAGGAGGTGATTATTCGATATATCCTTGATCTCGATACAAGAGGATTTGCACCCCGACTAGCTGGTGTAGAAGATATATTCTTACACGGTGGGGTATTCTTCTATCGGGGATTCTTATATCGGGGATTCTTATATCGGGTATTCTTATATCGGGGAATCTTATATCGGGGTTCTACTGTATCTCTGTCTAAATTGTCTTCCTTGCGGACCACCAGTATGGTATTTATCCAAAATGCCCCCTCTCATCCTCTCACCCCCCCATCTCTCAGTCCTTCCCAATATCCACAATCGCCTTCACAAGCCCATCCAACGTCCCCTTCCTCGTCTGAATATTAACCACCACCCTAAAGAAATTCCCCCTCTCCCCCGGCGCATGATCAACCATAAACCCCCTCCCAACCAACCTCTCCACCACCCCCGCCGTCGCCATCGTATTCTTCTCTGGCACCTCACTGAACCCCCTCGGCGCATAATAAAAGCACACCTGGAGACAAGGCGGCGGATTCTGCGACACCAGCACGAAATCCTTGTTCTTCTCCACCAACCCAGCCAAATATGCCGCAGCCTCAAACGCCTCGTCAATCATGCGTCCGTACCCTGCAGCACCATAATACGTCCAGCTCAGCGCGACCTTCAAGCTATCCGGCCTACGTCCACACTGCGGCGTCAGATCCGCCAGGTCCCACACCTCGCCATCCGAATCAGCGCCGTGGAACAGATACCCCGCCGGCAACGTATTCGCGCGATGGAACTGCCTCAAATCCTTCCCCAGCAGCAACGAGCACGTCGTCGGTGCCCCAAGCATCTTATGCGGGTTCACAGCCACCGAATCAGCAAGATGCACGCCCTTAAGCTTATGGCGCTGCGTCTCGGAGAAAATGACTGACCCGCCCCACGCGCCGTCAACGTGCATCCACATCCCGTGCCTGCGCGCCACAGCCGCGATCTCCTCGAACGGGTCGAAGGAGCCGAGGACTGTAGAGCCAGCCGTGGCATTGACGAGGAGGGGCGTCTTCCCCGCATCCTTGGCGGCGAGGATGAGGCGCTCGAGTTCGGTGGGGAGCATGGCGCCTGCGTCGTCAACGGGGACCGGGACGAGGTTGCGGGAGCCGAGACCTATCATCTGGGCTGCTTTCTCGAAGGAGTAGTGGCCGTGCGCCGAGGTGAAGATTACAAAGTTGTAGGTGCCGTTTCCGTCAGTCTTGGTCTTGGGGTAGAGGGTGTTCCGCGCGATGATAAGGGCGCTGAGGTTGCTTCCGCTGCCGCCTTGGGTGGAGAAGCCGCCGGCGTGGGGGCTGGTGAAGCCGTAGAGGTTGGCGAAGCGGGCGGTGACTGTTTTTTCGATTACGGTCAGGGCGGGGGATACTTGGTAGACGTGCACGTTGGTGTTGAGGGTTGCGAGGATGAGCTCGGAGACTACGCCGACAGGGTTGGTGCTGGCGTACAACTTATCCAGGAAGCCTTGATCCCACGTGTTAACGCTATACTTCAAGACCTGCTGGATAACATCCAAGAGCGCCGTTTTCCCTCCCCCAGTCTCCGGAAGCTGCAGGTTAAGCAACTTCACGAGTTCCGCCGGCTTGTGCGACTCGACCAGTGCGCTTCCGGAGCTCCCGCTCTCGCCATGTCCCATATGTTTCACAGCCGCTTCCTCATCCGCGCGGCGAATAAAAGGGATGATGAGCTCCTGGACGGAATTTAACAGCTACCGGCATTGTCAGTATACGCATATAAGGCAAATCGGGTATGTGCTTTTGCCACTTTGTAATAACGCTTACATCTGCAACCTCGTCTGCCCGGTTCAAGGGCGACTCGTTCACTCTGCCATTGCTCAACGGCGGCGCTGATTCTATGGAACCCATTACAAGAAAATATACAGATATATACAAATAAACATATAAACTTGTAAAAAGAGTAAAAGTATGACTCCCCCTCCATATATTTCACATGGCGAAAGGGTGGTGGGGATTGTGCCATGTCACGTGCTCCGCATCCGGTTTCCGCCACTTTTTGAGGAAAAAAATTGGAGCTGGCCAGGTACCAAAAGGAAACACCGCCCCAGCAGAAAAAAAGGTCCAATAGCAGAGCTGATAAGTGGTATAAGTCCTTGGTTCTCGATGGAGCTTGTTCTATTATAAAATGAGGCGCTTCTTTATTATACTGTGGTCTAGTACACGTCAAATTTTCATATGTGGTCATATGGCACTGTAGATTCTAGAACCCAGTACGGGGCAGGGCAACGCTTTGCATGCCCGCTCATTTGGACAGCCACTTCCCATATGCCCACCTGATGCGCTGCACAACCTTCAGCTGCCTCTCAATCCCTATCGAGATGTCCCCCAGTTCATTCACATCCTCAAAGAACTCCCTCTCCACCTCGCCCGGGAACAGCTTCGCCGCCCTGGAGCGCAGCACATGAACCTCACAGAGCAGCAACCCATGGTCCTTATAAGACAAAATCCCACTCGGCGACGGCGTCGATGTCGTCAGGATACGGTCGATATTCCGTAGAACCCGTATCATCTGCCCAGCCCTATGCCCATACTTCTGTCCCCTCCTCTCGCCAAACATCCCACTGATGTACCTCCCAACACCTATACACACCAAGAACCCCGGCGTCAGCCCGACAAAGCCAAACACGAGTTCCTGGCTCTTGAGAAGGGCATCGATCCCACTCAGCGCAACCTCAACATCCACCTTCGTCTTCTGCACCTGGATCAGCAGCGTGCGCACCAGGTCGCCCCGCACGGTTCCCACGAACGGGCGGCGCAGATCCTTCTCATATGCGCGCAGCACCGGCGTCAAGTCGCCCTCCTTAACCTTCGCGCGGATCTCAGCTATATGTGCATCGTTCAGGGAGCCGCCGCCCATGCCAGCGGCCTGCGGGTTATCAATAGCGAAGTCAACGACCATGCGCTCAAGGCTATCGCGGTCACCTTTGAGAGACTCTCGGCTCATAATAGCGACTTCGCTGCCTTCGTCGTGGCGGATTGTTTTGATGATCTTTTTAGTCGGGTCGACGATCCAGTTCATCCAGAAATCTTGCATGGTGGAGCCGAGGTCTTGGATCCATTCGAGGATGGCGGCTTTGCGGTTTACTACGATGCGCAGGATGGTGGTGGAGGAGAGGAGGAGCGCGGTGGCTGGGAGCCAGTAGCGCACGAGGCGGTTGGGACGGCCGTACTGGGATCGAAGGTGTTGCTGCGCCTGGACGTGTGCTGGGATGTGGGTGCTGAGGATATTCTGGAGTCGCTTGCACAGCTTCGCTGGCTTGTCTCTCAGCTCGCCCATTCCCATACTCCGCGACGAGATCTCCGGGTCGTTCGCCACGGTCGCAAAGACCATGTCCTCGAACTCCGAAACCCCCGTCTCCAGAGCCGTCACGTTGCGTAGCACCGTATCCATCAGCGCCACACTGCGCTCGACCACGACGTTCCAGTCGCTGTCCGTGCTCTGAATCCCAGTGCTATCTTCGCTAATATCAAAGTTGAGACCCTCATCCATAAGCACTCCAAGGCCACTTGCGCTCATCTCCCTCAGGCGCCTCAGACCCGCCTGCTTCCGGCGTGCCTCGGACCGCGATTTCGCCAGCGGAGAGAGAACTCTCGCTTGAATATCCGTGACCGACCGCTCGCGGATGCTATCCCTCACTAATCCGTAAAACGTCTTCCACCGCGCCGTAACGCTCGTGCCAATTGCCGTAGCTGAAAGTGTCTCCTCGGGCGCCTCCCTTAGTCTGGAGAACCTCTCCCGCGAATCCTCGTAGATATCCTTCGTCCAGTCCCAGAACCGCAGCGGCGAGGTCTGAATCGTGTAGATGGCCGTGGACGTGTACGACCCGAGCACCTCGTCCCAGTACCATATGTCGTTGCTGAGCGGGATCGTCTGCTCCAGCAGAGTGTTCAGGAGCACGCCGTACGCTTGCACCGTCGCTTTGCTGACCAGGAGCCACTCTAGCTCCTTCTCATACGGACTCTTTGTCTCGCCTAGTGCATTGACTTCACCTTCTGACAGGCCCGCCTGCCCGAGGAGCATCGAGATCCGCCATGCTGGGAGGAGTGCTTTCGACGACGAAGTCGCTGAGAGGGCTTTGATGAGGACCTGGAGCTCTTCGATTTGCGGGGAGGTAGATATTTGTTCGGTGGCCTCGGAGGTGGTAGAAAGGCGTCTGTAGTTCAGTGCAGGTGAAGAGGTGGCGGATTTGAGGTGTGCGAGCTGCAGTCTGTCCAACTGCGAGTCGACGCGTCGGACCTGGCTTGGGGTTCATTAGCAATTTCGGAGTGACCCTGCTGTGGGTAGGGTTCTTACTCTGCCACTATAGACATCACGCTGGACTGGGTTTGGGAGAGCTGTGGGTTTCGGGTTTCTTCACAAGCTGGGGGGGGGTTTTTTTGGCAATGACGTTGTGAGCTACCTATGAAAAAGGTTCGCGGCCGGCAGGGATCAGCACTAAGGGGTATGTGGCGGCGAATGTCAGCAAGGACAGGTTCACTGAATTTATATATAATATTCCCAAGGCTCATGCCTCCTCGCTCGCGGGCGTAGACGTTGTAAACAGAACATATTCCGGACGTTTGGATAGTTGAATAGTTGGACAGTGAGGCCTTTTCCCGATTGCAGTTTCACAAGAGACCTTGGGAGCTTCCCGATGGAGGATGGAGGTGAAGGTCCACAACATGACCTCCATGATATCCGTAAACAGATGCCGAGTGAGTGATGACTGTAACCCGGAAGCATGGCTATCCGGAGATACAGTTGAGGCTTTTGCTCGTGATATATATATGATATATATATAATTCCTGGTGGCCGAGTACGATTACGGATTCGAGATCATATACTCCGTATCATATGCGAAGTACCTCTGCATACATGTTTCGCTGTGTGGGTACTTAATTGAGTCGTGGTGCTCTAGCCTGATCCCTCAACCCGAATACGATACTTAGTGCCTGTCCGAACAAATCTGTGTCACGTGGCGATAACAGCCCTTTATCCACCCCAACGACTCCAACGCGAAGTCTCTTACTGGACAAATCTCCCACCCCCATCCATGCGCTAGTCCTAACAAAGCCTAGCCGCCCCGCGTTCCCCCTGCGCCCTCCGGTACGTACTCCTTTATTCTTCTAGTCTTAACCTTTTTATCACCAGAAAGTCCTTCCATGCCACTCCCCCCCCTCTCCTTCCTCCTCTCCACCTACTTATACCTCACAACGTCCCCCCTCGATTGTGGCCGCGATATCCTCAACAATCGTCTGATAGCCTCTGTGCTATACCGCCATAATGTAAGTATTCACCATAACCCACGTCTTCTGCAAGAAAGGCCCTGGCGATACGCTCCACTGGGCGCGTTCCATCTCCCCGAGAGGCAAATATCGTGGGAAATTAGTACTGATCAGTGAGTGTTATAGGGACCCAACAAACAGCACCCTCTTCGCCGCGCCGACATACTGGGACCAGTACCATGGCATCACCCACTACAATGGCGAGACTCTCAACGTCTTTGAGCGCCTCTGGGCCGTACGTTCTTCCCTCCCGACTTGAATCGAACGTGGATGTGCTAACATATCCCCAAGGCCTGGTACGCATACATGCAGAACGACGTCCTCGCGACTGGAATCATGTCCTTTGTGATGCACGAACTCGTCTACTTCGGCCGCTCTCTCCCCTGGATCATCATCGACCGCATGCCCTACTTCAACAAATACAAGATCCAAGCTGTACGCCGTCCCCTCCCACTCCCATCACACTTCACTAACACGCATTTATCCAGGGCAAAATCCCCACCGTCGCCGAACAATGGCACTGCACCAAAATGGTCCTCCTCTCCCACTTCACCGTCGAGCTCCCTCAAATCTGGGTCTTCCACCCCATGGCCGTCTTCTTCGGCATGGACACCGGCGTCCCCTTCCCCCCCTTGTGGAAGATCGCCATGCACATCGCCATCTTCTTCGTCATCGAGGACGCCTGGCACTACTGGACCCATCGCGCCATGCACTGGGGGCCGCTCTACCGCTCCGTCCACAAGATCCACCACAACTACTCCGCCCCCTTCGGCCTGGCAGCCGAGTACGCCTCGCCCATCGAAGTGATGGTCCTCGGCGCCGGCACGGTTCTCGGCCCCGTCGCCTGGTGCGCTATCACTGGCGACTTGCACATCTTGACTATGTACTTGTGGATCGTCTGCCGTCTCTTCCAGGCTATCGATGCCCACTCTGGATACGAGTTCCCCTGGTCGCTGCACCACTTCTTGCCTTTCTGGGCGGGCGCTGAGCATCACGATGTTCACCACGAGCGTTTCATTGGAAACTATGCTAGTTCGTTCCGCTGGTGGGATTTCGTCCTTAATACGGAGGCTGGACCGGAGGCGGCGAAGGCGAGACGTGACAGGAAGCTTGCGAAGGAGGCGAAGAAGGCGAAGAAGGCACAGTAAATGTACTGTGTGTGGCTTTGGTGGGGGCGCTGTGTCACCACTGTTGTGTGGTGCGGACACGCTTACCCGCCGTGTGGGAGGATGTGAACCCGAAACGGAGAATGAGATATCTGTAACGACAGACAGACACAGACGGCGTTCGGGCGTGCAGGGCACCGCCGTAGAAAAAGCTCCGCTCTTTGGAAGGAGCTGGCGAGATATTGGATGGATGATGGCCCGTAATTACACCTACTATTTCTTGTACAAAAACAGATGGGATTTGTTGGGTCGGATAGATGGGAGGCAGATGTATGAGCATTAATAATCGTTAATCAAGTCTGAAGAATGTAATTACGTATGATTTGCCTTGGTGAAGGACTATGAAAATGTGTATAGTAGTATGTTTGTCTCTTACCTACTTCATATACGAAGCTATTTGATTTGAAGCGCTCTGCCACGGACCCCTCTCCGGCCCAGATATCGTCAACTGGCTACTCGCGGACCTCATCAAACTATATATCTACCACTACGACGCTGTGTCCTAATACCGCACACCATAATACAGGAACTACTACGGAAGCCACGTTTAAGAGAGAGAAAGGAGACAGCAGTTTTCAGCGGGCCTGGGTGGGAGTTACCATGGCATAGACACGTTGAGGAGGTGGTGCGTGGTGGTGCGTGGCATTGTCGTTTCGAATTTTGTCGCCCTTCCGCTGTCACCGGGACTGCGTTGCTGTCGGTGTCCCTTTCCTGTTGTTGGTTTATCTTGTCACCGTTTGGGTTCTCGTTGGATCGACCTTTGGATCTGGCATCACTGCCTGGTGTCGAACGTACGCTTGACCTCCAGCACTGCTTGGGAGGTATCCGCGTCTTGGAGGTTGGCTACAAGACTCGGGCCTGTCCGCGCTCCCTAGACCCCCGGCCCACGAGGGCCCATAATCCTTGCATTCTTTCAAAGAGTTCTTGTATATATTAGAATGTTCGGGGTAAAGCAGCAGGTTTAGGAATTCGTGTAGGTTGATAGTTTATATTAGTAAATTCTTTTCCGAATAGATACAGTATCACCATGTAAATGAAGATGGAAAATCGTGAATCTTGCACATAGAGATACACATAGATAAAACAAAATAATACAATACCCCTTACTTCCCCACCATTACACCTCCCCCCCTTTTTCCCCAGCCATCCATCACCCTCCAGCCCCTTCCTCACGGACCCTTATCATGCAACTCCTCACCCACCACCCCCTCCACCCTCTCCACCCCCTTCCTCGCATACTTCGGCACACAACACTCCCCCCCCTCAACCACCACCCCATCCGCCAACGCCTCCAACGGACCCCCCTCTCCAGCTGGGACATCAGTGCCCACAGCCGCGGGGGGTTTCTCAGCGGGGAGCTCGTCGTGCTCGGCGGCGCAGGTGTCGCAGAATTGCGCCATTTGGATGTCGGCGGAGGAGAGGCCGGGGGGGTGGTGGGTGGTCCAGCGGATCAGGGTTGTGTTGTAGACCTGGGGGTGTTAGTATGAGCTGCTTAATCCGTCAATTGGGGGGGGGGGGGGGGCGGCAAACATTAGACCACTCGGGGTGATGCTTCGTCCTTGCTGCTTCAGCGGCTACGGCGTCCATGAAGGCCCATGTGTTCTTGAAAGTTTTGAATTTAAAAGAGCGCTGGAGACCGGCGTTTGAGGATGTCAAGGACCAGCGCTCGAGAAGAGGGGGGAGGGCCGCGGTGACGGTGTCCGGGTCGCAGTTGGAGGATACGGTGATGGCGGGGAGAGGTGGGGTGGTGGAGGACATGGCGCGGGTTGGGAGGCGGAAGGGGGAGGGGAAGTGGGCTCGTGGGTGCCTTGGGATAGCGAATAGAGGCCTTGAGATTGTGAATCTGTGGGCTTGGAGAAGGCTCGGGGAGAGGCGTGGCATTGTTGATTAATGTATCAGAACATCAGGCAACAAAGATATGAACTTGAACCTTGGGAGGTTGAAATATAGATATAGCATCACGTGATATATGATTTCGTGATCAGGTGGAAACAGGCGGCTGTGAGAAAGGGGCAAATTACACGCTCACCTATATCATCCTTCCTATCATGATTCTAAATTACAAGCTCTGTTCGGCCCAAATATAAATTTAAAAGTCTGTTTCCGGCCGAAAGATAAAAAAACCTACCCCCTCTATAAAAATGTATATGATGCAAAACCCGCACTCGCTTAAATTACCGATTCCCGCCCCGACAGCTTAGCTCCAGGCGTCATAACCCCCCCCACCCTGCTCCCCCCTCCGTCTCAACATTCGCACTTTTGCAACTTTTGTATCCCAAAAACACTTCCCAATAACGCTGTTTTTTTTTACATCCTCACAGCTCCCTACAGTGTTAGCGATTCCAAGATGTCGTGGCAAGGTATGTTGGATCCCCGTTCGATGGAGGGGGAGTGGGAGGCGCGGGGGGGTGTACCCCGCGGTGAGTGACGGTTGCTAACGGGTTGGATAGCATATGTTGACACCAGGTACATTACCCATCCCCGATCCATATACAGTGAGACAATGAACGAAGGGGCCTACAAAATGCACCGGCGGCGACACGATGGGACTACGGTGTCGAGTTGGAATACATGCTGATGGGGGAATAGCTTGGTGGGCTCCGGCCACGCAGACAAGGCCGCCTTGATCAGCGCTGCAGGCGACAGCGTCTGGGCCAAGACCGAGGGCTTCGAGGTGCGTACACCTCCACCACGTGTCGGGGGTTTATCTGTCGATGCTGGCGGGACGGGGGTCCAGATACGATGACGGTGCTGATTCCCAGCAGGTTAAGCCAGAGGAGATGCAGAACATCGTTGCGGCACTAGCGGGCGGCGCGGCAGCAGACAAGCTGTGGACAGAGGGTCTTCACGTTGCGGGGGAGAGGTTCGTCGTGTTCAAGGTTGAGGGACGGAGTATCTACGGCCGCAAGGTAAGCCTTGGATCCCCCCCGTTTACAGCGCTCTGTATGCAGGCTAGGAGCTGTTGGTTTGGGCAAAGTCTGACAACGTCGTATAGGGCAAGGACGGTATCGTGATCGCCAAGACCACACAGGCTATCATCGTCTCGCATTACGGCGATAATGTCGTTGCGGGCAACGCGGCCCAGACCGTCGAGAACCTCGCCGACTACCTCGTTGGCCTGGGCTACTAAGTCCGAGGAGCGTTTTGGCAGTGCTGTACGAGTCGTTTGTGCATTGGTGACCGCTCGCTGCGATTGTGATATTGGGAATAGATGGATTGGGTGGCGGGCGAAGGGGGGAGATATGCCTGTGAGGACGGGAATTTGGGACGGCAAACATTGAGGATGGTATTGATCTAGACATCTTACCTTACTCATGGATGTTTGTTGGTTGCGAATAGTGTGATGTTGGGCCGTGAATTAGGCTGGCACTTTTGCTATAGATGACACTCGCCTCTATCATTCTCTATTGCCCCGATTTGTATTTTCAGACCCAATCTAGATTCGTGACTTCTATCCTTTTACTGCCAATGCACCAAAACCTAACTCCTTACCTCCCTCTCACTCAGCCTCCACCCCATTCCCCACCCCCTTCGCCCACCTCCGATACCCCTCCACCATCTCCTCCGTAATCTGCCTCTTAACCCTCCCCATCGCGACCTTAAAATCCCCCCTCCCAACCTTCGCCCCCATATCCCCCGTCTCCAGCACGCGATCAATCACACAATCACACGCCGCCTGACAGATCCCTACAATCTCCGCACCACTATACCCCTCACACCTCTCCGCCAGCCACCCAACCTCCACATCCCCCTCCCAATCCATCTTCCTCCTCCTCCCCTCCAGAATCTCCACCCGTCCCTCTAAATCCGGCGGCGCCACATAGAGCAACTCATCGAACCTGCCCGGCCGCAACAGCGCCACGTCTAACGCCTCTGGCTTATTCGTCGCGGCTAACACCATCACCCCTTTTAAGGTCTCAATCCCATCCATCTCATTCAACAATGTAGTCAACACATTCACGCCCCCTCCACCCCTCCCTTCCCTCTTCCCTCCAATCGCCTCCACCTCGTCGAAAAACACAATACTCGGCGCCGCACCCCTAGCACGCGCAAACACTTCCCGAACTGCCCTCTCAGACTCCCCAACATACATATTCAGCAGCTCCGCACCTTTGACAGCGAAAAAATTGAATCCCGCCTCCGTAGCCACCGCGGCCGCTGAGAGCGTCTTACTGCACCCCGGCGGTCCGTACAGGAGGAGTCCTTTCTTTGGAGCCGCGCCGAGACGCGCGAGAAGCGCAGGGTGACGGAGGGGCGTCTCGACGGCGCGGCGGAGGGCGCGTTTGAGCGCGTGCTGGCCGCCGATGTCGGACCAGTGCACCTTTGGGGGGCGGAGGGTGATGTCGTGCATGGCTGTTGGACGGACGGAGAGGAGGGCGAGGTCGAGGTCGGGTTGGGTGAGGGACGGGGTGGGTGGGGTGGTTGACGCGGGAGTTGGGGTGTCTAGTGGGGCGGCGGGTGTGCTGGTTTCGGTGGTTGGCAGCTCGGGCTGCCCGGGAGGGGTGGCGGGGGTGGTTGAGGCGGAGTCACCGCGTTGACGGTGTCGTGCGAGGAAGCACGCGCGGTCGAGTAGGAGGGCTAGGTCCTCAGCTGTATATGCGTGGGTACGCTCGGCAAGACGGTCTAGGAGCTTGACTTCCTCCTCCTCCTTCGGCCCGAGAGAACGCAGGATTTGTTTCCGTGCGTCAGCATCGGGGATAGGGAGGAGGATATCCGTTGTGAATCTCCCGCGCTTGCGCAACGGGAGCGGTACAGCAGATGCAGATGCCGCCGCGGCAAGAACGACGACCTGCACAGCATCGGCACTAAGACGGGCCATCTCGTCACTAAGTAGAGCAGTGAGGGCAGGCTTAGAAGGGTCAGCGGCAGCGACCGCCTCCAGGTCGTCGAGGAGGATTATGCTTGGGGCGGTGAGGCGAGCATCCTTAAAAACCTCGCGGATAGCCTGCGTCTTAGCATCTGCATCGATGCGGAAGACGCGTCCCCAGCCAGTGGCAGCGACGCGCTCGAGGAGGAGCGTCTTACCGCTTCCATGGGCGCCATGGAGGAGGACGCCGCAGGCGCGCCTGCCCCAGGCTGGGGAGGTCTTAGCGACGTCAGAGAAGTCGGCAAGGACGTCGTTGAGTTTCTGCAAGGCGGAGTCGATGCCTGCGATTCCTGAGACGTGCAGGGTAGGGCGGGGACCGGTGGTGGGGCGCTCGAGGGCGGCGGCTTGCTCGTCGATGATTTGGACGCGGGAGGTGGGTGAGAAGTGGGCAATTTTGTTGGGGAGGGGGCGTCCGGAGAGGAGGAAGGACTCGACGATGAAGGAGCGCCGGCCTTTGAGGGTGATTTCATATAACATGTCTGTGAAGATTGATTCGGCGCGGACTGTATCATATTAGCAAGAGGGTAATAGAGTACAGAACTATACATACCGAGTTTATCCTCCAAATACCACTCCCAATGAGCTCTATCCTTCTCCTCCAGCGCCGTACCTCCGCTCACATCCCTCAAAACCACAAAATCCGCCGTAACAAGCGGTCCAGCAGCCGCAACAGCAATCCGATCCTCCAGCCGGAACCCGCAGTGATCCTGAAAGCTCTTAAACATCTGCATCACATTCCGATTTATCTTCTGCGCGCTCGGCCACGCAATAGCCTCCCGTCGAGAACCCGCATCCTCAACCTTCCACACCGAGCACGGCTGTCCTGCCTCCAGCCTCAGCTCGAGGAGGGTGTCCATGGAGAGGAAGACACGTGACACATCTTTCCGATCTGAGCGTTCTACGTTTGGCAGCGTGCGGATCTTGACCTCGGTGCATCGCTGCGCATTCCGGAGGTCGGCCATTGTATCAGAGATGTCTTTGTCTATTTTTCTCTGTTTTTCTGAAGCTCTCTAGGCGTGGAGTTGTGCTTGAGAAAGGCGTTGTCGCTGCGGAATTCTCATTCGCCAATTTTTTTGTAGTGCACTTCCTATCGACGCTTATCGCCGAGAACACTCGAAGCTCAACATCCACCTACCACCCTGCTTAACGAACTACGACGACTCGACTTGACGCACCACGCTCTGTGACCGGTCGAATCGCAGTCACCACCTGCTAGCTGGGCGAAGCTAATGCTACTGACTCGGCCGCGACACTCGCAATGCCTGTCACCGACATGGGCCGCTCGGCGGTTCCTGGCCGCGGCGCGGCTGCAGTGTTATAGCACTGACGGCCAGTCGAATCCTCCGAACATACGACGCGTTGATTTGTCGCAGACGGGAGAGGGCTCATTGGGCAGTGGGGCGCATGGAGATGGGGTTATACACAGAGAGGGTGGAAGGGTGCGCGATGGGGCGCAGAGGCTTTCACGACGGCCACCGCCTAAATTCCGGAGAAAGGAGGGAGTGCCTGGCGGAGATGGGATAGGAGCTGAACTCAAGGAGCTTGGAAGTGCCTTGAGAGATGCAAGCCTGGTCGATTCCTCAGCACCCGATCCCCAGACGACGAATGGACCTACCCCTACCCCCAAAACCCTACGAGCAAACGAAAAACCGAATACCATCCTCGAAGAGCTCTTCCCAGAGTACAAAGAAGCTCTCCCAGCTACAAACGACACCACCCCCAAATCCTTCACAGACGACCTCCCCAAGCTTGACCCAAGCACCCTCGGCCTCCCCCCATCCACCTCCTGGAAGCCCCTCAATACCCCCAAACCCGACCGCCCCTTCCTCCACCCCGACCACCAACCTCCCACCTCCCTTTCTCTCGACCCGCACACCCTCCGCCAACGCCTCGCCGCCACCGTCCTCGTCATCTCCAGCACCTCCCGCCACCTCGCCCTGAGCGACTTCATCCGCCTCTCCCCGCGCGGCTTCCACATCGAAGGCTGGACCTCTGGCATCCAGCGCGTAATCCCTGGCCGCGACCCGACGACGCTAGCGCGACAATCCCACTACTTCGTCCTCTTCTCAACCGCCGCAGCAGCGCAGGCGTATAAGGACAATATCGCGCGACTACATAATCTGAGCCGCAAATGGACGCCGACGTGCGCGACGAGTCGGATGGCGCCGGTGCCGGGGGTGCTAGTGGATGGGGAGGATGTGGCTGCGCTCGTGAGCGCGTTTACCATTGTGCCGAGCAGCCAGAAGTTGTTATTTAGTAAGGTGGTGAAGAAACCGTATCGGCCGGCGGTGGCGCGGATGATCGAGACGGGGGGGTATCATCCACTTATTACGCCGGAGGCGGGTCGGCAGGGGGGGAATCTGGTGTTGGTGGGCTTGGATCGGGGGAAGATGAATGCGTTCGAGCTTGGGCTGGCGATTGGGTTGGATGGGAAGGAGAGAAATTTGCAGTGGAGGCTGGAGGGGGGAAAGGAGGATATTGTGTTATTAGGGTCGAAGAGCGATCCTAAGGTTGCGCAACGGGAGGAAGAGGGGGATGAGGAGGAGGGATGGGATAATGAGGGTGGGGAGAGGCAGCGGGAGCAGAAGAAGGGAAAGGGGTTCAGGGGACCGCCGAGGTTTATTGTCAAGTTCAAGGATAGTGCTGAGGCGCGACGGTTTGTGCGCGCGTGGCATTCACAGATACTGGAAGGGGAGGCGCTGGAGCGTCTTGCAAAGGCGGGAGTGGGAGAGCAGGCCCAGGTCAGCGCGGAGGTGCTGTGGTAGGGTGGATGCGTGGAAGCTATTGTATATATGTATTGATAGGAGGAGTGTATATGTAAAAAGGCATAAGGTCAATGAAATGCTATAGAATATCCACCAGCCACAGGGTGGATTCAGGAGACGTGGTGGTTGAGTACGTACCGTGCATCACAGTGCTGCTACTGCCAAGTGCTGGCAGCCATTTCCTTGGAACATGCTTGTTATTTTGCTTGTTATTTTGCTTGTTATTTTGCTTGTTATTTTGCTTGTTATTTTGCTTGTTATTTTGCTTGTTATTTTGCTTGTAATTTTGCTTCCTTCTCCTCACGTAACAGTCGGGCGTCTGATGCATATACTGCCCCCCCTTCTGTAGCGATTTCCGTGCCCTTGCCTTTGCTGTTTTCTGCTCTGCTAACGGTAAGGTAACAATGTCAAGCTCGGTCTTATAGAGCTCAGCCCGATGTAAAACAACTGTAGTTCCATGTGCAAATGATTGAAACCCTTCTCTTAACGGTGATGAGAAAGCTGCCTCTACTCTCTTCTGCCAATATTTAACTGCCTGTATAGTTTGCACACTAGTTTTTGGAGTTGAGATACGGTCGTACGAAGCAAATGGCTCGTAGTCTGGTGTTTGATTCCAGGTCTCTTGTATTTTATCAATTACTAGTGGAGGATTATATGGATATAGTCGTGCATTTCTCCAACCTAATTGAATTGTCTGGACAGTTAAGGATTGCCGTCGGATTTGTGGAAGGTCGGAAAGGAACGTACGTAGCTTATACTCATAGTAATAGCTACGTACTGCTTGATCAAGTGCCTTTTGATGGAAGTGTTTGCACTGCTTAAAAACTGCTACATCAAGAGGTAGTAGATGCATAGTATGAGCAGGAAGGCAGCAAATAACAACGTTATGCTCTTCTGCTAATGTGAGAAAGCGCTCCGTTTTATGAGAGTCATGGCCGGCAAGTAATAGGAGGCAGGTGTCGTCTGGTGCCATTAAGCTCTGCAGATAGTTGAATAAAATGCATGAGGTATTGAATTGCAATGTCGTCGTTTGAATACCCACTCTCATTAACGATAACAAGAGCATTTGGCTCAAGGTTATCATTATACTATGAGTCCATGTGAAGTTTCCCCGTGATAATGGCTTCTGCATTTACTCCTTCAATTACAGTAACAGAGAGCCGATTCTTAGGATTATCAACATTGCTTTACGCCAATCGGCACAATAACAGCTGTAGATTTATAACATCCAATCATGTAGCCGGTCTTGTCAACATTCGATAAGTTATATGGCTTAATGTTGTGTTTTGTAATAAGTGCGTTATATGTAAGGAAAAAGTCCGCAACAGCCCGTAAAACCATTGATCGGTTTGCAGGGACCCCACCTTAAGTTGGTCATATATAAATTGACAAACTGCAGTATCTTGTGCTTGAGATAAAACTCGGTTTTGACCCCCGCGGGGAAGGGGAGGGGTAGTAATGTGTCGTCGGAGTGTCTCACAATTGACATTAAACTTGGGGGCAACCCAAGTAATTGTATAAGTATCTGGTTGTTTCAAGTAGAACTGCCGGGCCTTAATAAGACGGTCAGCTCGACTTGGATCGCTATTCAAAGGCATCGTAGAGGGTTGTTGTTACGACAAATATTATTATTTCATCTATGTATCAAAGTGGCGGTGTACATGCACATATCGCTGTCGCGTGCACAGATCGCTGTCGCCACCTACGAGCGAAGCGAGTGGGTGGAACACCGAGTAACGTACAGTACTTGCATAGCGAAAAATAAGGAAGATTATTAATAGCCTTAAATATAATCAAGAGAATATAGGCTATTAGCAAAGCATGCTAAAGATATAGAAGGGCCTAAAAAAATATAGATAATGCACGCACGTATCCCTTAACGAGTGGCGGCAATCCACGAGGCTCCTTTTCTATGTCATTTCATTTGTGTGGTTTCCTTGCTCTTTCTTCATTACCCATTTGTAGGGTTCCTTTGAGATTTTTCAACTTTTCTAGTCATATGTAACAGGGTGCCGCCATTATAGCACATGTGGTATATAAAGCGTGTTACGTGTATTCTGGGCGAGCCGAAATACTGTAGTCTTTTTGGCTCAGTAGGATGTAGCGCGAGCGTAACCGTCCATCATCGTTAGAACGCGGATATTTAATCTCAAAGCACTGTAACGGTCGGCACCCGTTACATTGACCCCCTAGTTAGCAAAGTAAAAAGAAGGTGGGTGGTTTGATTCTGTGACAACTTACTCGTTCCGCTACGTGTCATGTCGACAGTTTACATAACTACACAGCAACTCTCACTGTGGTCTGGCTTGATATACAGTAACCTCCCATAAACACCCTTCCCCGAAGGAGGGAACCAGAAGGAGTTATAAGCATTCCCCATCCCCGTTTAAGCACCCTTTAGCGCGTCAAGGCGCGTCAGAATGGCTGTATCTCTACGACCACCCGCGCTCCTCCACGCCACTATGAGGCTGGTAATAGGTGATTCCCATCTGCAATGCAATGCGGCTGCCTGCGACAACACTATCGTTGTAGCATGCCACGGCCTATGAATAATACTAGGTTCGGGAATTCAAAAAATGCTTAATAAAAGTGCTCTATTTCTATGAAAACAGGGACGAATACCCCTATATATATAACGGGCCGAGTGAGTGTTAACTAAATGAACTCAAGGGCTGAGTTCAAGGCGTACTGGGCTGAATCGAGGGCGTATTGAAAAGGCCTCGAGTGTAAGCTAGGTGGACGCCCCTTTTCTTACCGATTAGCTGTTCGGAATTCTCGACGCGACTCGGATGAATTCGTCTAATCACATTACTATACATCCACGTAAAGTGTGATTTCCCGAGCGCGAACCAACTTGTTGAATTCTATTGGGCTACGGCATTTACTTTCGTACGAAACTACATTAATCCGTCCTAGGTTTCAGGATGATTCATCACGTGACTCACCTCCTTACTGGTGATTCGCTCTATACATGTACGTTCTATAGAAACTGTTTTTATACTAAAGATAGAAAGTACATAAAAGATGCAGACATCCATCTTAATATCCATCCATCCCTACTTACCCTAATTGCATCGTTGTTGTGGAAATTTAATAGTAACCAAAGTCTCTTTTTCTGTCGCCTGCATATTAAGCCGAACCCCACCCACACTGATCTCAATCCCCTTTTTAGCAAAATCATCCGGAACCCCTGCGTGGGTAACACCAAGGGCGTCGATGTCGTCTCCAAAAATTGCATCAGGCTCTTCGACTAGCTCGTGGAAGAGTCTTGGATCCGCATGCTGCCGCCTGTGCCTGTGCTTAGATCCGTAGACTGGCCTCGTTACATTCTTAGTGACCTTGCGCACAGTCGGTTTTGTCGATCGAGGGATATCCGGAACCCCAGCGTGGGTGACGCCAAGGGCATCGATGTCCTCGCCGAAAACAGCATCTGGCTCTTCAACAACCTCATGCATGACGTCGACGTCCCAGTGAAGGTCACTAACACTAGGTTCAACCCGCTTAACCCTAAGCGTGCGCCTCGCATGACGAGGCGGGTCAGGGATTCCAGCGTGCCTCACACCGAGGGCATTAATGTCATCGCCAAAGATATAGTCTGGTTCCTCAACCACCTCGTGCATAACATCAGCATCCCAATGTAGGTCGTCAGAAGGAGGAACAGCGCGTTTAACCCTGACGTAGCGCCTTGGCTGGTGTGGCGGTTTAGCAGTGTTGCCAACTGAGCGAGAGGCCTTGTTTCCTGATGGGTGACCGTTGGGTGCTCCTGCATGGGGAACGCCAAGTGCATCTATGTCCTCACCAAAGATATACTCTGGCTCTTCGACGACTTCGTGGATGAGGTTGTCATCCCAATAGAGATCGTCGGCGTTTGGACGAGCGCGTCTGACCCTGATATAGCGCTTAGCCTGGTTAGCCTGCCTCGTGTTGCTGGTAGCTGTACGGGACTTCCTTGTCAATCGGGGGGCGTCTGGTGTCCCAGCGTGAGTCACACCAAGAGCATCGATATCCTCAGCGAAGACAAGGTCAGGTTCTTCTACGAGCTCATGGAAGAGCGCGGGGTCGGCGTGGACATTGGGATCGGTGTTCCTCAGCTGGCGTTTACCCTGGTGGGATTGCCTGATTGCGTTGCCAGTCGCTGTGCGGGCAGTCTTCCTCACCCAGGTAGGTGGGGTGTCGGGCTGTCCGGCATGGGTAACGCCAAGTGCATATATGTCGTCGGCGAAAACAAGGTCTGGCTCTTCGACTAGCTCGTGGAAGAGTTCGGGATCGGCGTGCGGGGCGACGTCTTTGTCGGTTTCATATTCATGTCGGGCTTGGTTTCTTGACTCTGCGTTTTGGATCTGGGCGTTCTTCGTCGGCGGATTATCGTGCGCTGCTGTCTTCTTGCCCTGCGAGCCTGGCAATTTGGCGGCTCGGTTGGCCCTATCTGTAGGCTTAAGCGGCGTTCGGCGAGCTTCGAGACTGGACATTCCGGTGAATCCTTTCGATTTAAGACTGATATAGTAGCTATGATAAGTGTAAGATAATTCATATATAATTAACGAATAGCGCACAACGCCAAATGATATATAGGGAATATGGTCACTTCCCGCATGTCGCCACCACACGGGAAGCGAGTGGGGAGGACCAATGCATAGAACTTGCGCGCTGACGCACATATGAGTGAAATCGAGATTCCGCGTGAGTTAGAAAGCTCCCTCTCGTTAGTACCGAGCTTTATGGGAACAGCTAGATGGATGGTGTTGCGCCGATATAATGAACCATGGTTACAATATACTCATCCACCACTCTCTTTTCGCCTCTTCAACTGCGTTTCGCCCTATAACCGTTGAATCGACACTTTTGAGGGAGCAAGTATGTCACGTTAGTTAGATGGATGAAGTAATTGGAAGCTCTTAGATATTCTGATCAACACTGCGATTCCCTCACCAATAGTACCATGACCTCCGTTGTCCTAAATTTCCTAATGATGATGATGTTACTTAAGTTTGTACAGATACTTTTAGCAGAGTACTGTACGTGCAGGAGAGCGGACGGGCAGGGAGGGATGGGTTGTGCAGTGAGGCGATTGTATTATTGCCAGCGCAAGCAGCCAAGAGGCGACACGGGGTCAACAGCCGTGAGGGGTATTGGATAGTCTACTAAGTGATGATCCTAAATTATTGTAATGTTAAATACATAGGATATTTGATATTCGTCTTTAATTGCAGACCTTTTGCCACCTTTGGGTCTTGGGCATAAACCACGATTCCAAAACGCTTGATCAACTAGATGGGTATGTCGTTGTTTGTGGCGATTGTCTAATAATCGGCCGAGCTAGAGTTTAAACTAAGATCTAATGGACTCATAGAAGGACAGCGGTGATATGTATATGCCACCTCTGTCCTTCTATGAGACCATTAGATCTTAGTTTAAACTTTAGCTCGGCCGATTATTAGACAATCGCAACAAACAACGACAAGACGACGACAGTACGACGGCAATACGACAACGTGATCCTTATGCAACACGTAAAGAAGGGTCTAGAAGTTTTTTTACATCAGCATTCCAAGCCGATTCCCGATCATGCAGTTCCTGAATCTAGTATGCCTGACAGGACATCGAACGATGTCAAGCCGTTAAAGATCATCATCATCGGCGCTGACATTGGCGGCCTCGCTCTCGCTCAGTTGCTCATGTCGGCGCCAGGGACCCACGTTACATGCTACGAACGTAGTGACGGCGTCAACGATCACATCGGGTATTGCGTGATGCTCACGGGTTCGACGCTGGCGATGCTAAAGCGTAAGCTAACTAAAGAGGTCTGGGCACACCTTGCACTTAGCATTGGAGAGGCGCCTGAGGGGGGCGAGAAGGTTGAATTTTTTAAGGGAAATGGCGACAAGATGTTTGTTTGGGACTCAAACCCCATGAAGGACCAGTTTGCAGTTTCGAGGTGGCAGCTAAAGGAAGCTCTTCTGCACCAGGCAAAGCCAATTCTTAGGGTACGCCACGCCTTTGAGCGCTATGAGCTTCTGCCGAAGGGGGGAGTAAGAGTATATTTTAGTAATGGAACTGCTGATGACTGCGACCTCATCGTAGGCGCGGACGGCTCTGACTCGAATGTCAAGAAACAATTCATGCCTAACGCTGGTATTAAGGACGTGGGTATGGCAATTATTTACTTCAAGATTCCCCTCACAGAAGAATCCATGGGGTTGTTAGGGTCCCCTGTCAGATCAATGGTGAATCCCCTATGCCTCCTCTTATTTACATGAGCATAAAGCTGACTCTAACTAAACCTTCTGCCCTCACAACGAATACATCATGCTTGCTAGTTGGCAGAATCCCCTCATCCCTTATGCAACGCGCTACACATCTTCCACCATTGAGCCCGACGAGTCCTTCATTATGTTCGGCGGAGGTTCCCCAGTCTCAAATTTCGACAACCGCCGCTGCGCCCCTAATAACCTCCGTCCCGCAGAACTCAAGGCTGAGGTCATCTCGCGCACCTCTAAAACCGGCATCCACCCACGCTTCGCCATGCTCGCCCAAATGGCGTGCATAGACACAGCACATGTGTTTCTGGTCCGCAAATGCGATGTCGTGCACCCCTGGGTCTCACAGAACGTCACCCTCCTCGGCGATGCCGTCTTCAACATGAGCAACATCCTAAGTAGGGGGGCAAATTGCGCTCTCCTCGACGCTGTGAATCTCGCTGAGCACATCACCTCGCCCACGTATGACCGGAGCTCGTCTACCAGCCTAGACGCCTACGTGAAAGATAACATAGACCGCCGTCAAAACGAGCGTTACCGCTCGTGCCTGTTGCAGAAGGCCATGTTCTCTTGCCAGAACCGCTTCATGGAGTTTTTGCGGAACAAGACGCTACCGCTCGCGCTTCGTAAGATTGACGACCGAGATCGCGAGGAGCATAATGTGGCCGAGACGTGGGTGGCGAATGAGCAGAACGACTTACTGCAGTCGGAGAGGGATCCGGAGTGGGTAGAGGAGCTGCGGTGGGAGGAGATCTATGAGGAGCGGCATGGCATCAAGAGGATTAGGGGCAGCTAGAGCGCAAAGAGGCTAAGGCTGAGTTGCACGATGATGCCAAGTACAGGCAGGAGGATCGGACTGCTTCCTAGCTAGGTTCTTTTAAGCAGCAGCTCTTCTACTTTTCCCCAGGGTTAGCAATTCGAATATAAACAAAAAGCGGAAATATAGAATGCTATAGAATATAAAGTCAACCTTATATTTTTAAAGAAGGTCTTCTTATTAAAGAACTTAACCCTATTATTAAAAATAAGGAAAGGACTGTTACTATTTAATGTACACAGCCTAAAACAACAACAAGAAGATAATGATAATGATAATCCATTAGTTAACGTACATGTATAACGTATTTCACGTACGAGTGGCCTACACGGGCGAGTGGCCTACAAAATCACCAAAATCTAAGTATTACAACAACTATCACCACCACCCTATATAATAACCCTTATTCAACTGTAATTGAATCCTCGTGCCTCTTGCACGTACGGGAATTATGGCCCATAATACCACATAAGCCACAACGCTTCTGTCGGCCCTTAGAGCCCAGTGTTGCCAGTAGTGTGATATTGCAATATATTGCAAATAAAATCTACTATTGCACTGCAACAATATTTGAATTCCGACTATTGCACTGCAACAATATATTGCAATATTAGTATTGCAATATTGAAGCTATTGCAATATACTGATAGTATTAGATGGGCTTTACTATCACTATCTAGCTGTCGCCTACCAACTATCCAACCATGCTGTGGAATGACCTCCCAACCACGACTTTAATGACTCTAAGGCTTCTAATGTCTCCGCTTTCATCTGGTTTCTCTTATCTGTCATTGTAGCCTTTGCACTAGAGAATAGGCGCTCTGGTTCAGCCTCCATTGCTGGTATTGATAGAATATCTAATGCCATAACTGCGAGTGCAGGGTAGGTTGTCTTTTGCTCTAACCACCATGCTCTTGGGTCTACAATAGGTGTGCAGGCAGCGTCACAATATCGTATGTATTCGTCTATAGTAGGTGCTTGTTGTTCTTCCACTTCTGAAGGCCCGTCTTGGGTTTTGTGGCTTGTTCAATGGTAGTAAGAAATGGAAGCTCTGCCGCTTTGTATTGGCTCTTCCAAAGATCTTGCACTGCCTCTTTTGCTGCTATAACCCATTCAAGTGGCCAATGGGCATCAAAATAGGTCCACTTCTGTGATGGTATTAATACCATTGCAGCGGTATATACAGCTGACCTCTCTGTCAGGGTATAATATTGATTCAATTTGGCCCAACCCAAGTTTATCATTGGCGCCATAAATGCATCATCAATGTACTTGATTTTCTGCTGCTCAAGGTGATCTAAGAGGTAATCCATTGTAGGCAAGACTCTTTCAAGTGTAGCCTGTCGCCCTTCTGTTGCAAGGGTTGCCTCTTGAAAAGCCTGTAGGACCTCGTGGATATGCTCAAGCTTGGTCCACTCTTCAGGTGCTAGCGTATCCAACTGAATGTCAGCTTTGTATTGAAAGCAATAAAGGTCAATTGCAATCCTGATATCAGCCTGGATCGCGCGATCGATCATTGCAAACCAAGAGTTCCAGCGAGTCTGTTGATCTCTAATAAGACGCCTGCCATGGCTTAACTGTAAAAAGGTCTCTTCTCTCTGGGGACTACGTTGAATGAATACAACGATATTATGAAGCTTGCCAAGAGGACCCTTTTGACGCCACAGATCCATTTCTAACTCGGTAGGAGTAGTGTATATACCAGGGTTGCTTTCAGAAGAGAATGCCTCGTTATCATATCCAAAGAGGAAAGCCTGGGCAACAAGATTGATAATATGGCCATTGCAACGAAGCCGATGATGTATAGCGTTATATTCAATGTTATACTCATTAAGTAGCAGGGCCGAAAGAGTTGCAATCATAGTATCATTATTAGTTGCGTTATCCATCATAAAGTACCTAGTTTTGAAGCAATTCCAAACTCTGCAATTACCTTCACAATTATGAGGGCTTGATTCTCTCCTGTATGCCTTCCATGGATCTCTCGTAAGCCAAGCACTGATTGACAAAGATCTCCGTTCTCTGCAATATAGTGGCCAATAATGCCAACTAGAGGAAGCTTGTTCGGAGAAGTCCAAAGATCCACGGTAAAGTGAATCTTTGAAAGTGCTGACTGTACACGTGCTATCACTTGGTTTCGTTCGTTGTCGTAGCATCTCATTGTCCATTTATGTATTGTACTGTGACTTGTTGGAAGCCAGTTATTGACCTCTGGATTAAGGTATGCAAGGAGGTTTCTGAATTCAGAGATTTCGACTATATTGAACGAGACCGAACAACGTGATATCCATTGAATAAAGAGCTGCTCAAGAGTTGATGGGTTGATTGTGGTTGATTGAACTGAGTCAAGACGACTGTCATACTGACATTCGTTGCACTCAGTTTGCTATCAAACTCAAGAGCAAACTTGGAAATCTCCTCCTCAAACCTACAAGTCACTATACATATTTTGGCTTATCACACCAACAACAAGAGCAATACTACTCAACGATTGCTACAACCATCTATGATTCATTACACATCATCGCTCCTTAGTTACTGGGCCGATATTACCACATAGCATATCTCTACAACCCTCTATGATTCATTACATGACATCACTCATACTACCACATGGCATATCTCTACCAACTAGAGGCCTAGGAGCATGAACGATAGCTCTAAAAGCTCCTACAAACCTCTATGATTCATTACATGTCATCGCTCTTTAGTTACCCACAAGATTGGTTAAGTTATGACATAATTTGTCTATGACATAATTTGTCTATGACATAATTTGTCTATAGGGGTACTCTGACCTTGGACCTCCTTTTACTTCCTATAGGCTACGAACCTAAGAGATGGTTCTATGGGATTCTCTTATGTCGACTACAGTTACCAAGCCTGGTAAGTCATGGAAAGTCTTGGAAAATGAGAGAACTACACTCCTTTAGCATAAATAGGATTGCCCTTTCCTTAAGAAAGGGCAAGCAGACAATACAGTAAATCGACTATCACATACTTCCACGTCTTTTCCAAGCTTCCAAGCATTCATCTTGTTACTCCTTGTTTCTGAAAAGTCAGTGAGGTGTTAACCTCTGACTTACCCCGGAGTTCCCAGACTCAACATTTGTTGCAACTTGTCTGAACCACTTCACTACATCACACACCTGATTGCTGCATTGTGGAATAGTCTAAGCTATGACCCTTTGGCTCTGTTTTCTAAGACAGTGTGTTGTCTTAGTAAATTCATCCCTTCCTTGGGTGGCTAGATTCTCACATCTGGTGCACCCACCATTACAACGACGTCGTTTGTATTGCGTTTCAAGGCCTGGTGCCATCGCAGTAGATATACTTAATTGCTGAAGGGTGTTTTGTTGCTCCCGGCTATCAACAATCTCATGTACTGTAAAGACACAGGGCACCCAGCTCACAGTAATAGCATATGAGAGTGCGAGTCGGAGGCTAAACGGATGCTATCCTATAGGTCTACTATGAAGGATACAAAAAAGATGAAGAGAGGAACCCCCGTTGAGTCAATTTCCTTAAGTACCCGAAACGGGTCCGACTCGGATAACCTACCCTAATGCTCCCCACGTGACCGTAACCTGCCCGACTCCGATGCTTTCCATCACTGAGGGCTTTGGCATCCTTACATGTACAGTCTGTAGATGAACTGCAATAAATGCTGTACCACTAGACTCTCTGTACTCCTTTGGACAATACTTGCAACGCCAGTATATAGCCTCAGAGCCTTCCTGTTGATATATTGTGTCAATTGGACCCGGCATATGCTTCCATACAAAGGATGTCCGCGCCCGACGCTTTTCTGTTGGTTTTCGTCTATATCGTTTGGTAGAAGAGGAGGATGTGACGGGATCGAACGATTCGAGGTCTGGAGTATCGTGGCTAGAAAGAACACTTGATTCAGGGGGTGGCGATGATGCGCCTGAAGGGTCCATTTTGTCTTGATACAATAGTATTTACATTAAAGGCTTCAATTTCTACAGGACAAGAGATCGGTGAAAACTCTATCTCATACCCTGTTAATATTGCAATATCCTAGTCATATATTTGTAATGGTGGGTGCACCAGATATGAGAATCTAGCCACCCAAGGAAGGGATGAATTTACTAAGACAACACACTGTCTTAGGAAACAGAGCCAAAGGGTTGTAGCTTAGACTATTCCACAACGCAGCAATCAGGTGTATGATGTGGTGAAGTGGTTTAGACAAGTTGCAACAAATGTTGAGTTTGAGAACTCAGGGGTAAGTCAGAGGTTAGCACCTCACTGACTTTTCAAAAACAGAGAATAACAAGATCAATGCTTGGAAGCTTGTAAAAGACGTGGAAGTATGTGATAGTCGATTTACTGTATTGTCTGCTTGCCCTTTCTTAAGGAAAGGGCAATCCTATTTATGCCAAAGGAGTGTAGTTCTCTCATTTTCCATGACTTTCCATGACTAACCAGGCTTGGTAAATGTATTAGAAATCAAGTGCGACCCACAACTAGCTTGCTAATCATGTAGTGAACGTAAGAGAATCCCATAGAACCATCTCCTGGGTTCCTAGCCTATAGGAAGTGAAAAGGAGGTCCAAGGTCAGAGTACCTATAGACAAATTATGTCATAACTTAACCAATCTTGTGGGTAACTAAGGAGCGATGACGTGTAATGAATCATAGAGGGTTGTAGAAGCTTCTAGAGCTATCGTTCATGTTCCTAGGCCTCTAGTTGGTAGAGATATGCCATGTGGTAGTATTGGCCCACCCCCTTAAGGAGGAGATTTTCTTAATAACTTGTTCAATGAGTGTCCAAATGATATGCTGTGATGTATGTAGCATAAACAGATGTAGTAGAAGAGTTTGCAGCAATCGTTGAGTAGTATTGCTTCTGTTGTTGGTGTGATAAGCCAAGATATGTATGGTGACTTGTAGGTTTGAGGAGGAGATTTCTAAGTTTGCTCTTGAGTTTGATAGCAAACTGAGTGCAACGAATGTCAGTATGACAATATTGCGATAGGTAATTTTGAATATTGCACTGCAACAATATCGTAGTTTTTACTATTGCACTGCAAATAATATTGCAATAGCTAGTAACGTACATGTATAACGAACCGGCCAAACAAGCGAACTGGCCAATCTATTTTACACCTTAAATCACGAATTTCATAACTTAATATCTCAACAACCCTTTAATAATAAGTTATAAAAATATGTACTTAGACTTTTATAAGCATTTAAAGTACTCTATTTGATTTTTAAAGCAATTAGTATTGTAGTTATTAAGATATTGAGTTTTAGCCCCCACTTTTGACCTAATTCTTAGTATCTTAATAACTACAATACTAATTGCTTTAAAAATCAAATAGAGTACTTTAAATGCTTATAAAAGGCTAAGTACATATTTTTATAACTTATTATTAAAGGGTTGTTGAGATATTAAGTTATGAAATTCGTGATTTAAGGTATAAAATGGATTGGCCGGTTCGCTTGTTTGGCCGGTTCGTTATACATGTACGTTGGTCAAATACTACTGCCAACACTGTTAGAACCCAACTGCCGACTACTCTCACTAGCCACCTCCGTATGGACTTGAGCTTCAACCTTAGCACTCTCAAGGATATCCTCCCCCTTTTGTATAGAGAGACTACCCCCTTGCATTATACGCCTCTTGCGCTTCCTTTCCCTCCTCTGTTTCTGTTCATTTGCTACTTGTAGAGCCTTAACTTCTGCCTTAAGTAGAACAGTAGAATGCATCATAACCTAAGCTCCTTTAGCAAGCTGGCTTAGTACGTCATTAATTGAGCTAGGAGAGCTATTCTGGTGTCGTACAGCACGGTTCTTAATATGCTCTGTTTGAAAACCAAGCTCCTCCATTATAGCTTGAGGAGTCTTTGAAGTCTAATTGTCACGCTTAACTATTAGAGGAGTCGGAGTCTAGGCTTGTGCGTTTCTTACTCTGTGACCGCCTGTGTTGCCTGATATGCACAGCCGTCCGATAAGTGTTCAAAGGAGGCATCTAATCACTTAGTGCTGCAATCAACAAGCCAGCTACTCATAAATAGAGGTAAAGAGACAAGTCCTATCATCTTAAATAGTTGGTATAGATTCTCGGCAAAGGCAATCCCTCATCAGACTTTTAGGCGGCACGAGTGTCTGTTAGTTGATTTAAGCGCTGGTGGAGTTATTAGCGACGAAAAATATCTCGACAAATATCACACCATCAAAAGGATGAGCAATAAACGCCGGGCATTCGTCTCGATTCACTATCGTGGTGCCCTTTCACTCGGGGGGAACAGACAGCGACTGGGCTACGCGGCATACCATTGGGGGATTCTCATCTCACCTAAAGTCTACAAGGAGCCTGATTGCTACACATTCGATGTCAGTGATACAGCCAGGCAGATCCAGAAACCAGGGTGGATCATAATCCGAGCCATGAATGGATATTCCGGAGCAACCCAACCGTTAGTGGCAGCTTGCTCAGCTTGATAATGATCGGAAAGATTCCGAACTGAGTTGAAATATCAGAAATACCGACACGTCTTCAGTCCAGCCCAGTCCCTCAAAAAGATGCAGGCCCCGAACAGAACTGTGTTACGTGGGTGATGTCTGCTATAATTCGACATAAACAAGTTCATGGATGCTGGAATCGAGTTTGCTGATAAGACTTTAGCGGACAAAAGTGGCACTCCTGCAACAGTTGCAAAAATGAACTATACAACTCGAAAGATCTGAGATGGTGCCAGTATCTTGCGATTTTCACAGTTCTTTTCCCGCCAGGAATCCACGTCAACCCTTCAAGAACGGGAGTTAAGCCGCCAGCTCCATTGCAGAAAGAGAGAGATATCAATAGCTAGCCAACCATTATATACTGAATATCATTCGTTATTATTGCGATACACGTACATATCTAGCAAGGGCTAGGGTTATGACCCTTAATACCAGCTTCATACAGCCGCTGGAAATCTCGGGCTGTGTTGGCGTGGATAACACTGACAGGCCTGTTTCCCAAAGCTTGGTTTTGAAGCTGCTTCTTTGCTGCCAGAATCGGGGGATCTCCTTTTGCACCTGCCTCCTCCGCCGTTGAAGTGATCCCGGTTGAAGGTCTTCCTTGTACATCCAACACAGTCTGAAACTCTTCTTTCGACAGCGCAGTGTTTGCTTTACTACCCGTAATCTCGTAGTAATCAATGCCAGTTAACGTCGCTTCGAAACCTGGCGAAGGGAAGTCATCATGATGAGAAACGTATTCTCCTGGTTCGCATCCACGAATACCATTCCCGCAACATCATTGGGCCATAAATGCAGGAACTCTCTTGCTGTAATGCCACCTCGCGTATGACACAGTATAACATACGGTGGATTAACGCTCGTGTTTTTGAGGAGGGTGTTGAGCTTGGTAGCTATAGAAATGGCGTTGATAGCTTTTGGAGCATTGGCTGGTCCTTCGCTTCTCCCCAATCCCGATCGATCGTAAAACAAAACCCGTGAAAACGGTTCAATTAGTCGTCGTACGGCCACCCATTCGTCGATAGTACTCCCAAGGCCTGTCATTAACACGACGATTGGTTTGCCTTCTCGTCGGTCGGGACCCCGAGACTGCCATGTAGAGACTGTGAGAGATTTGCGAATAATTGATGGATTGAAGATGTGATTATTCTTCAGAAAATTCGGGGGTTTCCGCTTTCGTTTTTTGCTTGTGGCTGTTCATATGTCTCTTTATATATCCTGTACCTTCGCTTTTTGTTTGCCGCGGTTTATACGTATCCCCTATTGTACAATTCCCATCTATAACCTTGCTTTCTCTGCCCCCTCCGCCTCCATCCTCCTCGCCCACTTCCCTACAACACCCACTAACCTCTCCACCTCCTCAAAACTGTTACCCGCATGCAAACAAACCCTTACCCTCTCCCCTCCCACCGGCACAGTCGGTGTAACAATAGCGCGTACCATAAACCCCGCCGCCTGGCACTCCCTCGCCAAGTCGCGTGGCCTCGGTGTCAGCAGCGAGAAAATAGGGGATTCCGGACAGAGATACGGGATATGTAGGAGGCGGTTTGAGGGTGGTAGCGAGAGGGCAAGGAGGTGTCTGTGAAGGTGCGATACCAGCGCCCACATATGCGCCGCAGGCTGGATAGGTGTGAGTAATGGGGAGGGCAAAAGCAAGGGGGAAACGTACAGCGACAGTTCCACCGTCTATCATGAGATCATAAACGGTGCGGATAGCTACGAGTGAGGGGTAGGACATGAAGGTCGTGTAGATGAGCGGGCGCGCATAGTTAATCAGATACTCCCGCGCCAACGGCGAGCAGAGCATAATCGCTTCACACCATCATCAGCTCAGCGAACGTTAGTCAGCCGGCGGGAATAGGAGCATACCTCCATTACACGCCAGCGCTTTCCCGAACGTATGTAGGCGCGCAAATACCCGTCGTTCGAGGCCAAGACTACACACAACCCCCCGCCCATTCTCGCCATATAGGCCAGTTGAATGCGCCTCGTCAACGATGATCTTCCCATTTCCCATGGGCAGCAGCCTCTCTACAGCTTCCACAATCGCAGCAAGCGGTGCTACGTCGCCATCCATACTATACAGACTCTCCACCGCGAGGAAGACGCTCCGCTTCCCCGTCCTCACGAGCGCATCCCCTGCCAGGACCCTCTCAAGCACGTGCTTCAGATCCTGGACGTCGTTGTGCCGGAAGGGTAGGCGGACTCCAGCACGTGAGAGTCGCATCCCTTCGTGCACGCTGGCGTGAATGGCAGCGTCATAGACGACTACGTCGCCTGGTTGGGGCACGCACGCGAAGAAGCCCGCATTGGCATCGAAGCCGGCGTTGAAGAGGCAGCCGGCCTCGGCGCCGTGGAAGGAGGCGATATCGGACTCGAGGTTTTCTGCGTAGGAGCTGTTCCCGTCGAGGAGGCGGGAACCGCCGCTACCAAGGCGTTGGGGTGAGGAGGGGAAGTGGGCAAGGAAGGAGGCGTGGAGGCTTGGGGACGAAGAGAGAGAGAGGAAATCGTTGGAGGAGAAGTCGGTGGAGGTGGGAGGGGAGAGGGTGAGGGCACGGAGGGAAGAATTGGCGGCGCGCTTGGAGAGGTTGAGGCGCATGGAGGTTGCGAGGGCGTCGGCTGGGGGGTCGGCCATGGTGATTAGGGGGAGGGATGGCGGACTTAGAGGGGGAGGGAGGGAAGGATGGACTTCGGATGGATATATGGTAGCTATATGGATGTCGTTTTTGTCTGGACCGCGGGGTGGAGAGTGGAGAGTGGATAGAGGCCCATATTTTATATTTTAGACATCATGGAGCTGCCGTTCGTAGCCGAGCATTAGCCCCGCGAACCGACTTTTAACGATAATAATGTGGATATAGGGGAACTAGGGGTGGGTATATGCATGTGTATACAAAACAACAACAAAAAAGCGTTGGGGTTGATTAAATACGACCATCTCGAGCAAAGCCAAAGTTATATTGCGCTGTAAAATATCTCGGCGGTTGATGGTTGGCGGCGAGATCCTGACCCCGTACGATTTGTTCCTAGTAGCCGATCACAGGGCGGCCGACCACCGACCACCGACCACCGAACACCGAACACCACCGAACACCGAACACCACCAACCACCAACCACCAACCACCAGCATGCCCGCCTCTGGAATCACGGGATCTATCTTGCGGCGCTCGTTGCGCGCATATCAGATCTATGGCGCGAATACTGGTGTTGGCAAGACGGTCATGTCGACCATCTTGTGCGGTGCGCTACATCGCGCTTTCCCTCAGGAACCCGTCTGGTACCTGAAGCCGGTGTCGACGGGCCCGCTTGACGACGCCGATGATGGACACCTCGCGCGGTTCTCGCCGAGCACGAAGACAAAGACGTTATTTCAGTTCGGAGAGCCCGTGAGCCCCCATATTGCCGCGAGGGGCGCTACTGTAAGATGCCGAGAAGAAGAATTTATGAGTCAGTGATATCAACTTGCTAATCACTTTCTAGCCGCTCTCTGATTCGTCAATTCGGGAAAAGATCCAGGCGCACCTGACGTCGTTTTCTCAGGATGGAAAGGGGACGCTGCTTGTCGAGACAGCTGGTGGAGTGCATTCTCCTACGCCGTCTGGGAGCTCACAGGCGGATCTATACAGACCCCTACGTTTGCCAGTCTTATTAGTTGGTGATCATCGCCTTGGAGGCATCTCGTCATCCATCTCGGCATTCGAATCCCTCCATATCAGGGGCTACGACCTCAACTCCGTTCTACTATTCGAGGATGAGCAATATCAGAACCATGAGTATCTACGCGACTACTTTGGCGAGCGTGGCATATCGGTGCTCTCACTCCCCCCACCCCCGCCACAGGAGAGCAACCGGGAGACCGATCAGGCGCGCATGGGAGACTACTACCTCGAAATGAGCGAGCGCAAATCCGTTATCGACATGGCAACCTCCCTCTCCACCTCTCACACCTCCCGCCTCGACAGGCTCGACTCAATGGCCGACAAAGCTCACAAACACATCTGGTACCCCTTCACACAGCACCGCGGCATCACCCCTGAGAAACTCATGACCGTCGACTCCGCCCACGGCGACTTCTTCCAGACCGTCTCACCCCCATCCTCCGAGATCGTCCTGCAACCCACCCTCGACGGCTCCGCATCCTGGTGGACGCAGGGCCTCGGGCACGGTAACCCCGCTCTCTCCCTCGCCGCTGCCAACGCCGCCGGCCGCTATGGCCACATAATGTTCGCATCAGCTATTCATGAGCCGGCCCTCGCGCTGGCGGAGCTATTGCTGGAAAACCTACAGAATCCGCGGATGCAGCGGGTATTCTACTCCGACAATGGGAGCACAGGCGTGGAGGTAGCGGTTAAGATGGCGCTGACGGCTGCGTCGGTGCGGTATGGGTATGGGGATTCGCAGGAGGTGGGTGTTATTGGGCTGAAGGGGAGTTATCACGGAGACACCATTGGGGCGATGGATTGCTCGGAGCCGTCGACGTATAATGAGCGTGTGCATTGGTATCGTGGGCGTGGTCACTGGTTTGATTTCCCGCAGGTTAAGATGAAGGAGGGGGAGTGGGTGGTTGAGCCGCCCGAGGTGGGTGAGAGGGAGTTTGGACCGGCGATGAGGTTTAAGTCGCTGGATGAGGTTTTTGATATGGAGGCCCGAGATGGGTCGCCTGCTGCGGAGACGTATAGGAAGCATATTCTCGAAACACTCGACCGGCTTGTTCGCGTGGAAGGAAAGACCTTCGGCGCGCTAGTCATGGAGCCCATCATGCTCGGTGCAGGCGGCATGCTCCTTGTGTAAGTTCCCATTAACCCCTCCATTTTCACACACCTACTGACCCTCCCAGCGACCCCCTCTTCCAACGCACCCTCATAAACACCATCCGCGACTCGCACTCCCTATTCTCCGCCTCCCCTGCCCCAACCGACCCAAACAACTGGACCGGCCTACCCATCCTCTTCGACGAAGTCTTCACAGGCATCACCCGCCTCGGCCCCTTTAGCCCTTCCACCCTTCTTGGTACCCAACCGGACATCTCGGTGCACGCAAAGCTACTTACTGGTGGACTTGTCCCGCTCGCCGCCACCGTCGCGAGCGAATCCATCTACGACGTATTTCTTGGGGACGAGAAACGCGACGCGCTTCTGCATGGACACAGTTACACAGCCCATGCGGTTGGGTGCGCAGTGGCCGAGGCGTCGGTGAAGGAGTTGTTGCGGATTGAGGGTGGAGAGGAGTGGGAGGCATTCAGGGCACCGTGGGGGAAGACGAAAGTGGATAGTGTACTGGGTGGAAAGGTAGGGGTGTGGAGTATGTGGTCGCCAACGTTCCTAGACAGTGTATCACGCCACGGAGAGGTAGAAAGTGTGGTTGCGCTCGGGTCTGTGCTTGCTATTAAGCTACAGGATGAGAACCCTGGTATGTCCCCATCTCCGTTTATTTCTCCCATTTATATGCCTCATTTGGAAACATGCTTACATCACCCGCAGGATACACATCCACCGCAGCGATAGGGCTGCAATCTGCGCTCTCCCGCGTTGAGGGAGGGTTTGGGATCCACTCGCGCGTGCTGGGGAATGTATTTTATGTGATGGCGAGCCAAACCACAACGATAGATGTTGTGAGGGGGATTGAGGAGCGGGTGATCCAAGCGCTGTAGACATATGGGATTTTAGATTTATCAAGAGGCATGAGCCATGTACTCATACGATACTGTGCCGTCGTTGCACTGCCCGGTGTGATCATCGGTCTTATTGTGTGTGATTCGTGCGACCTGAAATCTAGGTGGTGCCTGCACGGGACAGAAACGGGAACAATACGCAACGGTGATATGAGGATTCTCGTTGTTCGTCCTATCATAATATTGTGGTCTCCTCATCTAAAATTTTGTATGGAGAAATGCCACAATGGGTATAACTTTTCGTCAAGAGGCAATAACTCGCGAGTGGAACGCTGTGCTCGCTCGCTGCAAGTGCAGAATAAAATCAAAGTGCAGATCAAAAATAACTTTTGGATCCGAAGTGAAATGAAGGTGGCGTGGGTAGGTTGGCACTGTAGATTCCCTCGTCTCGCACACCCTATATCGTCGGATGGGATTTGGCGCAAGGCAGATGCTTAGTTCGCAACGGGCCGGCAGAAAGCTTGTAGATGCCGTCCCCGGAAATGTGGCAAGAAGCATTCCCTCCAGGTCAGATCATCCACGCTAGAAGAAAACGTGTTAGTTGCACACTTCGGTTTCATGGATAATGTCTTACCTGGTACCATCTAGCTCTAGATCAAAGCGTCGGAAGAGAGCAGCAAATGCGAGGTACATCTCACAGTTCGCGAGACTGTCATTACATTAGCTTCATATCCTGGAACAAGTCAAAGGGTATACAGCGCCGAACGTACTTCTGTCCCATGCACATCCTTGGTCCCTTTGAGAACGCAACGAGCCACTTCTCGAGGGATGCCGAGTCCTTGTTGAGCCAACGCTCGGGATCAAATGTTTCGGGGTTCTTGAAGATTGCTTTGGAGCTGTGGACAAAAGTACCGCTCATGCCCACAATGGTCTGCAAAACGTCAGTGGTTAAATAATCGCCTAGGGAAAAGTGTGACTTGCATCTGGAGGAATATAGGCACCTGTAACGGTGGCGCCAGTGGCAGGGACTATGCGGAGTAAAGGAGAAGCGACACCAGGGCTGATGCGGAGGGATTCTTTGATTATAGAGGTCTTGCTTCGTTAGCTAGACAAATCAATAAAATAGAATAGAGCGTTCTCACCAGGAATGGCAACTTCTCCAAGTCCTCCAATTTGGGAGGCTCCGCAAGAACTGGCCAGGCGCTATACAACTCTTGCTTCAGCCTGTCCACGTAACCTGGGGATCCGAGCATGTGGAATGTCCCTAGCATTAGAGCATTACCAGTCGTGTCAGCACCACCAAACATCAACGCCTGGGCTTCTTCGTACAGGCTACCTGTAGATGGAAGCGGTTCCCCCTTGCTCGCTTTAGTACTGAGTAGCTCATGATAGATGATCCGATGTGGCGAATCTTTTAAGGCGTCGGGATTTTTCACAACCTCGTTCACCTGAGCACCAAGCAGTTGCTGGAGATGTATTAATCCCGCAGTCTGTGGGCTGGTGAGAACGCTAAGCCATGGTGGCATAGCGAAGACTGCTTTACGGATAAGACTAAAGTGCTTAAACATGACGAATGCCGGCAGGGATGCCTCCATGGCTTCAATGATAGGGGCCTTGAAGTCCGGCGCAGCGAGGGCGTCTAGGGACTTGGCGAAGCAAAAGTAGGTTATGGTATCCATAGTGAAACACCGGAGCCCAAAGAAAAGATCGGACGATTTCCCAGCTGCGTTGTTAACAGCGAGGATTTTGCATAATCGGTCAACCTGCATGCAAATTAGCCTCCAATAAGCTACTGGTGGTAATAACGTGGTGGGAGGGGTCGTACATTGCCCTGCACGAGGCCCTGGAGCTCACAGATTGCTCGACGTGAGAACAGGGGGGCCATGACATCCTTGCGCTGTTTGGATTCCGCATATGTCAAAAATCCAAACGACGAGCGGTCCTCCCCAAAGCTATGATAGAGATCGGCCTCCTTATTCCATCGATTATTGTTGCTGTATATCTCACTATATGCGGCCGGATCTGAGAAGTGGAGCTAGAGATGCCGTTAGAACATGTACCCGCAGAAACATGACTCGTGTGAATCTGGGGAAGGGGCCCAATCTCTTGGCGCCAGATGTAGTTGTGGAAATACAAATAAATGAACACAAATGGCAGGAAGTAAGGGAGAGTGTAAGACATGAAACGGAGGAACCGCGTACCTCGTTGGGACCGACACGAATGATCTTGCCTTGCTTGCCAGTCAGCCAGCTTCAAAGCACCAGGCCAGCCCACGATCCATTCCTTTACGTACCATACTTGGTATGCAACTCCTGGAGCACATCAATCCAAGATCTGCCAAGAAAAAGCTCCTGATATGTTTTGTACCAGGCTGTAAAGGCTGCAGCCCTCGGCCCCGGAAAGGCAGCGAGTGGGTGGAAGAACAGGTTGGACAGGCCAGCAGCAGCTCTCTGGATCAGCCAGGCTGAGACGAGTCCAATGAGTGCAATGGCGACGACCGCCACTTTGCCTGGGAAGTCTAAGCCGGACATGGTGAGTGGAATACCGAGATGGGAGCTCAAAGCTGTGTGATGAGTGTGATGAGTGCGATGAGTACGTGCGAAGTGCGATGTGCGATCAGTGTGATATGCGATGAGTGAGATCAGTGCGATGTGCGATCAATCCGATCAGTGCGATCTGCGATCAGTGTCATATGTGATATGTGATATGTGATATGTGATATAGGTGGATATATTGTGATTGGTGTTTTTTTCCACCGTTGTGTGCGACTGGTAGTGGGATCCCTTGCGTTGGGATGACCACGAGTAGTTGGTAGTTGGTTCTTAAGCGAGATATTGGGTACAACCTCAAAGAAAAGGTCACAATTATATCTCTGCTCACCCGGTACTAACCTTCCAGACGTCAGACGTCTCCGAATATATTTGCCATCACAGTCAACGCCATGGCCGAGGATTCCACCGAAACGTCGATCACGGCGGCTGAACCCACACCGACAGCCACGGCCTCGATAGACCCTGAGCTAGCGGGTAAGCTACAGGAACCTTCTTTCGAGATAATCCATACAATCAATAGCGCTGCGCCTCCTGTGGGGCTCCAACCCGGCCAGTCGCCGTATCAAGCGTATCAAGCGTATCAAGCGCCAGCATCCCCTCAGTCGTCAGTTGCATCGGATGAAGAGATCACCATCGACGACACATTCGACGAAGATGGCGATTCTGCGTACGACAGCGGTTCTCTCCAGAGCGATACCACGTCGCTGCTTTCGCACATCACAAAGTATCGATACGAGAATAACCGACGGTACCATGCATACAAAGACGGGGAGTATTGGGGTCCAAACGACGAGCAGCAGAGTAACCAGCTCGATATTGCCCATCACCTGTTCCTGTTGACAATGGGCGGCAGGCTATTCCTCGCGCCCATTGGCGACAATCCGCAAAATGTCCTCGACATCGGCACCGGCACTGGTATCTGGGCCTTGGATTTCGCAGATCAGTACCCCTCCGCACGCGTGACTGGCTTCGACCTCTCGCCCATACAGCCGCAGTGGGTGGCGCCGAACTTGCGCTTCGAGATCAACGACGCCTGCGATCCGGATTGGGGTTACTCGAAGCAATCCTTCGACTTCATTCACGTCCGTGCTATGTATGGGAGTGTTGCACACTGGCCGGCATTCTACCAGCAGGTTCTCGAGTGAGCTGCCGCCCTTCTGCCCGTCATAGCTTCATGTGCTGACATGCTATAGCAACCTTGCCCCTGGGGGGTGGTATCAGCAGCTGGAGATGTCCGTGGTTCTGAAGTCTGATGATGGCAGCGTCAGGGAAGGCAGCATCTTTGACCAGTGGGGCAAGGTATCACTTGAGGCTGGCGACAAGTTTGGGAAGGATCTCAGGATTCATGAACAGATCAAGGGCTATGTTACAGATGCCGGCTTCGTAGATGTTGTCGAGACAGTCTACAGGTATCCTGTCGGACCATGGGCTAAAGACCCGTTCATAAAGAGTGTCGGGGAATGGAATCGCATACATTGGCAGGAGGGTATTGAGGGCTGGTCAATGGCCTTGTTGACGAGAGTGCTAAACGTCAGTCTCCACATTTCCATTCTCTTACAACTAAAATCTTACCGTGTGTCTGTAGTGGTCGTATACTGAAGTACAAGCATACCTGGGGAAGATGAGAGGGGCTCTGAAGGACAACAGCATCCATGCGTACCATATTGTGTAGGTTTTGTGTTTCATTGGCCTTTCAGCCCCGACTTAAGGTGCACAACCGATACTTGGTGTTTGGTTGCTGACAGTGGCACAAAGAAACGTCGTATACGGACGAAAACCACCGAGATGAGGCGATACAAAGCCCACGGGCACGGCCAATTTAAGTCACCACCAAGAAGTGAGATCTCCTGGTATCACAGAAGAGGGGAAATACAGCGAGATCAACACAAGCCACGATTCAACGAAGCATTTTGGATGAGGGTAGATTGATTGATTACGGGCATGTATTATATACCACGGGCCAGCCTTGAGCCCGTATCAAATGCCTGTTAACGGCTCTCTTCATGCATTGTGGGTTCGGCACCCATCTCGAAGTTAGGGGATACAAGTAGGAAAGACATCGCTCAGATTCGAGACTGTGCGACTTCATGAGAGACTCCAGAGGCGACCCTGGGGTAGGCATTTCTATTGCCTGCCTTAATTGTATGGAGGATTGAACATTCGATCACTTCTACTAGACGTCGGGTAATCTCTACTCGAAATGTAAGAGATTTAGTAGGTACGATGGTCTGTCTTCATATAGTATGTCTGCCACAGGGCTAGCCTTCTTGTATTAATGCAAAAACCATTGACAAACCACATCCAAGTCTTTCGTAGTGGCATCCTCAGCTACATTCCCTGTGCAGACAGCAAACGCTCCCACTGCGCCCATTCATTTGGTTCCACGTCAAAGACAGGATACTTGAGAAATCATACGACTCAATAGGTTCGAAACCAACGCTAAAGTTGCCGTAATGCCTCCGCGGTTGGGGTTTATCATTACCAACCGAGCTCCCCATCGCCTCCTCGAGGTTTGTTACGGCCTCTGGCTTCGATGAAGACCCAGCGGGTGTTCGACAACGACGAAGCGCTTCAATATAATATGGCGTCGGTGGTTCCGGAATCCCCTCCGCATTCCTCGCTGCGACGCAGTCATCCCATACCTGCAGAGTCCAGTTAGCCAGCGCTGCGTACAGCGCCTCTGGCTGGGCAAAAATCAGTGGATAATTTTCGAATGCTTTGCCTATCAGCTTCCACGCACGATCGACATCCGGCCCTATCTTGCGATTGCGCGCTTCGATGGGCACATAGAGCAGCGTGTCCCATATATAACCCGAGCTTGTTTGCCTTGAAAATTTCCGGAAATTTGGATCTCTATGTAATAGTTTGCCGTACTCTAGCAGTTTCATTCCGTTGGTGAATATTATGTCTCGTGCTCTTTGGGGGACTTTGGCGCCGCAGTTGGCGAACTGGCGTGGGTTGTAGGCGTATAGGTTCATCTTACATATTGCCGACCTAGCAAGCACTGACGAGAAGGGGATTCGACGGAAATCCACAATATCAAATCTTATCAAAGAAAGCACAACGGATGTGATACCGGTGCGCTCTGGTGGTTGCTTGACCATGCCAGGCTTGAGGTCTTCATCTTCGACATTGAGGGGTTTCTTGGTATCACTGAGAAAAAGATCCTTAGATGGCCTTGTGCCCGAGAAATCAGATGTGCGACAGTCGATGAAGACAATCATCCACCAAAGACGCCTTCGAATTTCCGTATCGAACGGAGAAAGACCAAGGGATGTCCCGTCGCGGTGAATGCCCATGCGGCGGGCCAAGCGCACAGCAACTCCTGATAGGAAACATTGTATCGCTTTGGTAATATCCTTTCATGCCCATCTACATCGGTTAGCCCGGTCGTAGAATCAACTCCGAGCGGCGCGACTTACGAGGAACATCATAAATGCTTGTAGGGTCACTAGGCTAGATGTTTCGAGGAACCCCGCGTTCATCAACGTCTGGCGAGCTGCGATTCTATATCGTGTAAAAACGATCAATTGTCGTTCCGTTCCATGGGTGGTATTGAAATAGAATTGTACACTGTGGATAATACATCTCACGTGTTATTAGCTGAGCCTGGTGACTTTTGTATAGGGCCACATGATGCTACTACGGAGTTTTGTTTCAAGATTCACACTGCAGCGTGGTTACCTTGCAGTTTTTTCATAAATTGCGCTCAACACTCCTGACCGGGTCACATCGGTACTACAAGCCTTCCTCCATCTGTAGCTTGGAAAATGTCTCTATCGATATTAGCAGTCGAAAGTTCGAGCAATGTTCCAAAACTCGTCTCCCGCGCATGGTACTGGCCGATTGAACTTTCTCCAGAAGACAGTAGCCTACACTTGTGTGCTCGACATCGTCTCATGGACCTCAAGCAGTCCGACTTTGCCGCAAGGCCAAGAGCAGACTCTCCCGCCCGACTGGCACTTTGGAAAACTCCCAGAAGTCATCCAGCGCAGTGACTACTGTACTCTGGAAAGCCTACTTATCACACTCATTTTCGGAACCTAACCAGCTATGGGGACCCAACATTACCCGTACTATCTTCCGCAGTATGATTAAGGACCGTATTCTCACTGAAAGAATCCTTAGCACTAAGGAGCTCTACAGTAGCACCATACACAATCCAAAAATCTTCGAACAATTATGGGGTGAAAACCCTCGAGATATTAGAATCATCCGCAGGCCACGCTGCCTCGCAGAATGGTCAGACCACACACTAGACCTCCAAGAGTTCATAGTACCAACTCAATCTGACGTAGAAGACTCTACCGACTCTACCTAAAAATCAATAAAGTCCCGATATGACTGAAATCGTAATGGCGATATATATTAGCCCTTAGAAGCCTATATACTACGCCCCAAACCCCACCTATCAGGAGAGTGACAGCAGGGTGGTTCAACTCCACTGTAGGAGCTCCCGGTGGCAATGCACCTCTCCTACCAACACGGATATCAAAAACAACTACAATGCTTCTTCGTGCGAGTAAGGAACCAGACAAGGTAAAAATAGGCACGGCCGATTTTGCGGCATGGATGATTTTGCGGCATGGACGATTTGCAGCATGGACGAGTTTGCGGCATGAACGAGTTTGCGGCATGAACGATTTGCGGCATAGACGATTTGGCGGCATGATCGATTCGTGCCATCTAATTTATACAATCCGCTCCTACAACCCGTCAAATTCTGATGCGAATCGACTGAACAACTCGTATTCCATCCTCTCGGCTGATTGTGGGCCACTGAGGATCTCTCCGATCTGGTCTGCTCCAGGCGGAAAATCATGCTCAAATTCGGGCGCCCCAGCCCCCTTCATATTAACCAGCACAGCTTGTCGGAAATGCCATCGAAAGAGCTGGTCTACTGGTCGTTGAGGGTCGTCTAGGAGTCTCCGGTCCAAGTATGTCCCTGCAAGGTTGTATGTATCCTCAACAAAAAAAACTATCTTGTAGTTGTCCTAAGATTATTATTAGCTGCATCTATCATGAGTTATAGGTAACTACATACGTCGGGGTTTATCGCAAAATCGTAGCCGTCAAAGAGCTGATGAATATCGCTCCGCAGAAGGAGGCCGTTTTGCACCGAGTTTATTGAGCCACCTCGTTCCGGTAAAATTGTAATCCAACGGCTAAAATTCTGCGCCGTCCACTGTGCTTCATACGCAATTGGAAATATATGGCCCACTTCAAATCCACGCCAGTGAATTCTGTATGCTGATCCGACCTCATGGCCAGTTACCACGCAACGTCTGTCTCGGTGGCGAACTTCATTTCGAAATGCTTCTGTACGGCTTCCAGTGCCGAGGGATATGGCGCGAAATAGAGGCGCCTCGTCGCTTAATTCGAAAGGATCTGGTCGTAATTAACAACTTGTTAATATCAGAGTTGTACGAATCTTACCAGCAGCACAGATAAAGTAATTTCCAGGCTCAAGCTGGGCGTCATCCTTTGCGATAGTCATATCACCATCATTTCGTAACGTAAACTCGCTTGTAACCACCACAAAAATCTCAATCATGTCGTATAAATTTTTGTTTGTGACGCCTCTCGTTCTAATCAAACCGCCGAGTTCTGAGGTAGGGTCGGCTGCATTGAATATGTGCACATTGCGCCCTTCTGATCGATTAATTCTTGGCATCGTCGGATCTTCAGGCGCAAGTTCAGATACCTCCACACGTGTATGCCATGCCTGTTCAGGGTTCACTTGATCGGGGGGTGTCCGAGAGGGTGACAGAGAGGGTGACAGAGAGGGTGACAGAGAGGGTGACAGAGAAGCAGATGCCATCTTACAAGAGATCGGCAGCGTCGTCGAATTATAAGGGCTATGAAGAGAGAAGGCAGGCACGTTTCTCGTGTAGCAAATAGGGTCTGCCTATTTCAGCTGATTGTTGATAGTATTAAAGAGACAGGCACGAACCTAAGGCATGTTGTTGTATCGCCTGAGGGTAAAAACCTCAGGCGATTATAAGTGAAGTTAAAGGAAGCTATTGGTTATAAGATCTCTGCGCTAATCCCGGGCTTATAACCTATTAGACAATTTCCGTAGGATCCGTAGCAGTAGGTAGAGAACATAAACCGTAAATACAGTCACGAAGCAGTAGGGCCCGAAGTGATAATTTTGTAATGCATATTCTTATAATTGAAGCTATTCTAACTACTATATACCTCGGGTTAATTAACTACGTGAAACTACAGGATTGCCCATCGACAATGTTATCAGGATACAACTTTCGGGGAAATACAAGGCCCGATGCATTCGTGCACCTTTAAATAGAGTTGAGAATAACATCAAAATGTAAGGAGACTCACCTCATCCACAACCAAGGCAGATTGCCTTGAGTCAGTGGCATTTCAACAATGATATCGATCCGAGCTGAGATGAGGGAGATACTCGACGACTGTCAAGATGGTCACCGCCCGGAGACAATCGCATGCAGTCTTTGTTATATACCGTCTGGGCTGTTATCTTATTCATTGCTGTTTTTCTGTCTGTCGAGTCAGACGCCGAGTTCCCGGAAGGCATGGACATAGACTTTAGCTTCCTGTCTAACCATGGGAAAGAACAAACTTCCAATGCTTGACGTCTCAGTTGAAGATTAATGGTTTCGGAGAGGAGTATGGTGGGAAAGTGAGGAGCATAGATACACGTGATTAATGATTTCAGCGCCTGGTGTGGGTTTAGAAGGGCGTAAATTCAAAATTCAATTGTTATTTAATGTGGTAATACACGCCAGGTGATTGGCTCGGTGCAGGTGCAACTCCGACATCCGCCGACTAGCCGTGCGCCACCCGATTGGCCCAACAGGAGCTCCCCGGTTGACTACACCACCCTGAGCGCACACCTGAGCGCACACTGACCCCCCACCCTCGGCCAGGAACGGCGGGGTGCTTACGCCGTATTGTTATAAGCCTTGACGACCCGCCTCAACAAATGTGAGAGTAATCATCAACAACAACAACGAGCCGCCCACCATGCCTCGTGTCCGCATACCTCTAAGCTTGTCTCATGGCCGCAGAGCTGTGATTCCATCTGCGAACCCGCAATGGGTTGCTCAGCGAGCTTACGGCACAGTCGTTGATGGCCCAGTCGCCCAGTCGAGTCAAGCTTCCACGTTTGAAAAGGCGGTCACGGCGACGGCTCCAAGGCATAACTGGACAAAGCAGGAGATCAAGGACATCTACGACACGCCTCTCATGAAGCTTGCCCACGCTGCTGTATGTCCCTCATGCAACCCCCCCCCAGAACGCACAACAGCTACTGACCCCCACTCCAGGGCGCCGTTCACCAGAAATTCCACGACCCAGCCGAAATCCAGATGTGCACGCTGATCAACATCAAGACCGGCGGCTGCAGCGAGGACTGCTCCTACTGCTCACAATCCTCGCGCCACAACACCGGCCTCGAGGCCTCGAAAATGATCCAAGTCGGGACCGTGCTTGCCGCTGCCCGCGTCGCCAAGGAGAACGGGAGCACACGCTTCTGCATGGGTGCTGCGTGGAGAGACATGCGCGGGCGCAAGACCAACTTGCGCAACATCAAGGAAATGGTCAAGGGCGTCAAGGACCTGGGAATGGAGAGCTGTGTCACCCTCGGCATGATCGATCTGGCGCAGGCCAAGGAGCTGAAGGAGGCTGGGCTGACGGCGTACAACCACAATGTCGATACGTCGCGCGAGTTCTACCCAAGTGTTATCTCTACACGCACGTACGATGAGAGGCTCCAGACTATTGCGAATGCTAACGAGGCCGGCTTGAGCGTGTGCACGGGCGGTATCTTGGGACTGGGTGAGGAGGCAAAGGACCACGTCGGATTACTCTTCACGGTCGCCACGATGCCCACTCACCCCGAGTCGTTCCCAGTCAACACCCTCGTGCCAATCAAGGGTACGCCGCTAGGCGACCGCGAGCAGTCTCCCTTCGACATCACGCTACGCACCATCGCCGCAGCGCGCCTGATCATGCCAAAGACCATCATCCGTCTTGCGGCTGGCCGTACGATTCTGAGCGAGGAGCAGCAGGTTCTGTGTTTCATGGCTGGTGCGAACGCGGTGTTTACGGGCGAGAAGATGTTGACGACGGCGTGTAACGGGTGGGAGGAGGATAACAAGATCTTTGCGAAGTGGGGCTTGAGGCCTATGCAGAGCTTCCAGACCGGGAAGGAGGAGGGCGCGTCGGCGCCGATGAGGGAGGGAGCGGAGAAGAAGAAGAGCCAGGTTGAGTTGGGGAGGTGATGTGAGGTGGGAATGAGGAATGCGGGGTTGGTTTAGCATCTTGAGATGACTCGATGCTGCGTACATATTGGATTATCTAGAAATGAGACATCTGATTTGAAATTCATCATTGGCAGGCATTTCTCTCCATTATCAAGTGCATTACACATAAATCATTAAACTAAAGCACCAACATATCTCGTCATGCAACCAACATATCAGCCACCAAGCCTTTTTCAACATACTACCAACTCCAGCTCCTACCACAGCCGGCTTATCGCCATCTAGAGCGGTGCCTCGCCTCGTTATCAACATAACATTAGTGGCAGAGTAAGGCTTCAGAGCGCTTGAGGCATCAAAAGACAGCTGATCGCTCACAAAACAGTAAGCGCTAGATAGAACGACGAACTCGTGCTCATCCCAGAGTTTTTGTTGGTAGGATGCCGGCAGTAAAATGGTTCCCAGCCATTCTTCCTCGGTGCCAAAATCCACTGGGTGTGCTGTGGTGATTCCAAATCGGATTAGATGTTCGCCATCGACCTTGGATATAAATGGTGGTTTTATAGTTCCGCTTCTATCATCTAAGGTGAGTCCAAAGCTTGCTACTCGACTACGTAGCTGTAGGTGATACATCGGAACCCGAACACCACCGAGGCTGGTGTCATTTCTATTTTTCTCGACAGACTCGCCATATTCAGATGGCAAAGCTCGCATCCAAGGGTCTTTTAGGGGAGGAAGACCGTTCCAGTCTTCAGGGTCGTAATATTTGACAGCCCCACTCCATCCCGCCCATGACCAGCTAGGATACATCGGTTCCTTGGTTTTTTCATCGATAGGAACCCTATCGAGGAGTTGCTGTGGTTGCCACAAGAGAGAATGAGCGAGCATTTCCTCTGAGCACATCCCCCACACAAAGATGGAGCCTAACGGCTTCCGAAACACGTTTCGAATGCCACTAATCCGGTCAACTAGAAACGTCATGTCCCGTAAAGTATACTCAGCAACCATTCGAAGATAGTGTCCTCTCGGAATACCAAGACGATTTCGATGGCCATGAATCGGTATGGGCGGATCTTCCCCGCGGCTAGGGGTAATTGTCTGCAAGGAAGCGTTTACGTAAACGTCTGACCGAAGCATATTAAAATCATATCTTCACCACATTCAAAGTACACAGTGTCGTTTGTGAATATCATCGATCGCCGGGATAGTAATCGTTCCTCACATGTCCAACATCGGCCATTCCAGGTTGATGTATCGACTACATCATCACATCCACGCATGAGAGACAGTAATATTAGTTCGTCGGAGTATATAGTCGTGTGCTGTATAATATTCCTCGAGCCCTCGTTGACACCCGGTAGTCCAGCATTGGCATTTTCACCACTTGCTGCAGCAATGGTAAAACTTGCTCTCGTAAGTATAGTATCCATAAGCTGAACCGTGCTCTTGTCCGAGTCATCGTCCTGAATAATGCAGAGCAAATCAATCCACAAGCACCGGTGATTTAGCAGACGTGTCAATGTAACTGCGTCCTGGATCGGCTTAGGAAACAACTCGTAGCTCTTTGTAAGAGATCCAGATTGTATTAGGTTAGGTAGTGTGTCCTTTAGCAACTTGCCCAGACCTAGCTCAAAGCGACGAACACTAGCGGGATCGAAGTTTAGATCAAACAGTCATCCTTGAGGTCGAGTAACCTATTGAACGGTTGGATGGTAACTTGATAGTTACGGGCCGATCTCGTCGTGAATTATTCTTTCGCCAGCATACAGCGTTATGCCAATCTTCGCAGGAGCCACGACCTTAGCAAGCCTCTCTCGATAGACTTGGTGTTCAATTTTCTACCCAAGAACATGCCATCTTCGTTTTCTCTAGCTAATGGAACAATATTAAAGGATATAAAGACGTCCTTCCATATAGCCATATCGGGTAGTATCCGCAGAAGCAGTGTTACCATGGTGGTTTTAACATCGGTCTGGGCGTCTTTCACTTTGTAAGTGACGTTCCGAATCCAGCAACCAACTACCTCTACCTCATGTTGGTAGGCCATGGTAGAGACGGAGTCGACGATCATTTTGCAGAGGCACCATACAGCAGTGCGATAAATAGTGTGCCATCTACGCTGTGGTATATTGCCTTCTTCCATACCAAATGCCATAAATGCGATAAGCTCGTTCATGGATTGAGGAGGACGAAGGGTAGTGCAACTAAGTGTGTGCCATATAGATTGGGCTCTATGGCAACGTCACATTCAACCCATATGTGGTTTGTAGTAAAGTCACACCTGTGGCTGTTCGGAATCCATGTCAGGGTTTTTCCAGTCATTATGGTGCCGTGGAGCATTCTCCAGAAGAGGTCACCAGCTTTATTGTAACTGTATTATCCCGAGTGTTTCTCCACAAGGATGCGGGGGACTTGTTTATTCCTGTGAGATTTTTGTATGCCGCAAGAGGACCTGCAGTTTTATAGGTGTAGTCCATGTTTGCGAGTCGTCGTAGCTTGAGAATTTTGTAGGCTTTAGTAAAGGTGATATTCCGGAGTGGAATCTCCTTTTTGTGCCATTTGACAAAGTATTCATTTCGTAGAGGGTGGGTTGTCTCATAAGTTGAGTAGCTTCGGGTAGTCTGTAGTAGAGTTTTCCAAGGCTGTGGTATTTCGTCCATAAGTCTGAGGATTGCTCTTCGAGCTTCATCTGTCTTTTGGGATGTAATTTGAGGGGGGGGTGATAGGTTGGTTAAGGTCTGGGTCCCAGACGTCTCCAAGGCTACGAGCCCCAGAATTCCATAGTAATGTCCATATGCCAGAACCCCAGCGCCTCGCCCCAGACCCTCCATGGACTCCAATCTGTATATGGTACCAGATAGGGGTAGTAAGGAGGTCGTTGAGCGTGGTGGGGTTCTGGATGGTAATAACACCATTAGTAGTGTTTATATAGCTTCCTCCAGCGTATCCAGATGTTGTTTAGTTCATCAGGGACCTTATGGCTAGCTGCTATCCACTGCAGCCACGGTCTGTCAATAGCGGCAGTAATGAGGGAGCTTGTTGGTGAGCTTTTTAATAATGACTTCATTAGCTAGCTGGACCCACGGTCTCTGTAGTGATTGTGCAATCATAGAGAGTGCATTAGCGTTTAGGACACTCTCAAGGTCGATGGTTCCTAGTCCGCCTTGCTCAGGAGGAGCGCATGCCTCTAGGTTGCTAAGTGTTCGGTTTGACTTATCGTCCCAAACAAGTCTATAGTATTCTTTTTTGAGGGTAGTCTTAATAGCGTGAGGCACAGTGAGAAATCGAAGGGCGTATCGGGGTAGAGACATCATAAGGGAGTTAGCAATTAGCACACGGCCTTTGATAGAGAGGTAGTATCGGAGCCACTGTGTTGCAGTTTTCTTGAATTTTTTCAGAAGGTTATCCCAGAAGCACAAAAGTTGCTCGGTGATGTCTGTACCAGTGTTCCCATTAGTATAATACTTAAGTATTCGGGCCATTATGATACGGGCCGTATCAATACGGTACGGGTGAAGCTTGATATGATACTAGTGAGCTCTGTATCAATACTTAAGTATTTCATGTAATGTTAAAAATTGAAGCTGTAAAAATTGTATACTCTATAACCCTGTGAATTTCAGAACATATTGAACTAGCTAGATATCATAGTCATCGCTGCCTCTTGCAACAATGTATCTGGGAGTGTTGACAGCTCATCATCTACAAACGGCAAAGCTGTACTCTTATTCTTCTTAAACCAAGACTTCAAGCACTCAACAGCTTGAATTGCCATAATACCTAGCTGTAATGGTGGGTGCACCATATGTGAGAATCTAGCCACCCAAGGAAGGGATGATTTTACTAAGACAACACACTGTCTTAGGAAAAAGAGCCAAAGGGTCGTAGCTTAGACTATTCCACAACGCAGCAATCAGGTGTATGATGTAGTGGAGTGGTTTAGACAAGTTGTAACAAATGTTGAGTCTGAGAACTCAGGGATAAGTCAGAGGTTAGCACCTCACTGACTTTTCAGAAACAAGGAGTAACAAGATCAATGCTTGGAAGCTTGGAAAAGACGTGGAAGTATGTGATAGTCGATTTACTGTATTGTCTGCTTGCCCTTTCTTAAGGAAGGGGCAATCCTATTTATGCTAAAGGAGTGTAGTTCTCTCATTTTCCAAGACTTTCCATGACTAACCAGGCTTGGTAACTGTAGTCGACGTAAGAGAATCCCATAGAACCATCTCCTAGGTTCCTAGCCTATAGGAAGTGAAAGGAGGTCCAAGGTCAGAGTACCCCTATAGACAGATTATTGTTACGACGGAACAAGAAGGCTGGCCAACTACAGGACAGGAAGGAGGGAGGTCGCATGAGACTGGCCCTGGTACCTGGAGGGGCAGCGGGGAATAGTAGTTCCGAAAGTATCACGTGACGGACTCGCAGGATGATGAGAAGAGTCCTAAGAGTCCAGGACTCCGAGGACTCAAGTGAGTTCCCAGGAGTCCACTAGGCACGTGACGGACTCGCAGGATGATGAGAAGAATCCTAAGAGTCCAGGACTCCGAGGACTCGAGTGAGTTCCCAGGAGTCCACTAGGCACGACGCCACTATATAAGTAGATAGTATTTCCTTAGATAGGAGCTTCGTGCTCAACTCAATACAGTATTTGTTATATACTAGTAACGTGTTACTTGAAGCCTTTGTGTCTGATCCCCTGCCTCCTCTGATAAGTAAACCTTTACGCAAGAGAACCTCTGTGTCTTCTATCGTTTAGAAGTCAGCGTTACACTTTGAGCACCACTTCTACGAGGTACCGGCTCATACACAAAGCAACATGTCTGTCGTCAGTTTGAAGGGGAAAACCCCCACCACGCCAACTTCGTCTCAGAGGTCTAAGCCTGAGAATGAAGAGATGCCCGACGCACCCACCGTCAACGAACTCAAGGAAACTCTACGCGTCAAGTTGCCCGACACTTACTCCGGCAACCGAAAGGAACTTGAGGTGTTTTTGCTACAGGTCGAACTGTACCAGCACTTCAATGACGAGAAGTTTCCCACCCAGGAGAGCTATGCCCTGTGGACTGCGTCCTACCTTAGGGGGGAAGCCCTGCGATGGATCGAACCATTCCTCAAGGACTATTTCAAATAT